ATCATCAGCAGCATCGTCATTGTCTTTGCCGTCGCCATCATCATCATAATCAGCATCGTCATGATCATCATCACCATCACCATCACCATCACCATCATCATCATCATCATCATCATCATCATCATCATCATCATCATCATCATCATCATTATACACATTATCATCAGAAGTAGCAACGTCACCATCACTATCCACTACCAATACTATAATCAAGTCATCATCATCATCATCATCATCATCGGCAGCAGCATCATCACCAGCATCACCATCATCAACAAAATAATCACCGGTGCTATCATCATCACAATCGTACTCATCATCGGCAGCGGCAGCATCCTACTCGTCATCATAAACGGGGCCATCGCCGTCGTCGGTTTTATAATGATCATCATCATCATCATCATCTTCACCAGCAGCATCATCAGAATTACCTATCGTTACCATCATAATCATCAGCATGATCAGCATCGTGATCATTATGATCAGCACCATGATCACAATGACCACCATTGCCACCAGCACCATCTTTGTCGTCGTCATCATGATCAGCATCATGATCACCATCAGCATCATAATCATTATTAGCATCGCTTTCGTGATCATCATCGCCATCCTCATCACAGCCATGATCACCACCAACGAAGCTCAACATCACAATCATCATGAAATCATGATACTCATACTCTTACTCATGCACGACATCATCAGCAGCATCATCATCGTCATGATCGTCGTGATGATCATCATCAGCATCAACATGATCAGCATCAGCATCATCATCCCCACCATACCACAACGAATTCACACGTTTGCCGTCGACGACAACATCGTCATCATCATCGTCGTCGTTGGGTTCGTCATCAGCGTCCTCACTCTCACCCTCAGCATCATCATCATCATCATCGTCATCATCATCGTCATGAGCACTATCATCATCAGCACCAGCATGTTCATCCGCATCGTCATCATCTTTACCATCATCTGATCAGCAGCATCGCCATCATCGTCAAGGCCATCGTTATCGTCATCCTTCGCCCAGCCATTAGCACTACGAGCGATACCCAACATCATTATGGTCCTCGCCACCAGCCTCGTCATCACGATCACCACCACCATCATCGCGAACATACAAATAAGCATCATCTTGTTTGCCGTCGACTAAAGCATCACCACCATCATCGTCATTAGCGTCATCATCATCATCATCATCATCATCATCATCATCATCATCATCATCATCATCATCATTATCATCAGCAGCAGCATCATCATCAGCATTATCATCGTCATAGTTGTGTTTGCCTGTCCATACCCGTCTGGGCTCGACGAGGACCTCCAAGGGCACTCGGGGCGGCAAAGCGATGCGGAAAAGAGCTGTGGCTTTCCTTTGGCCGGGGCGTCCGACGGCGAGGTGGCGCTTCAACCCCCCTTCCGTGTCTCATGTCCCTGCAGTCTCGCCCTGGTCGTCGTGATCGTGAACATGTGGCATCATCTCAAGTGACCTCGTCCAGAAGTTCGCGCGGCGCGGGCGTATACATCTCGACGGCGCCGTGGACATCCTGTTTGTGGCATCCCAGCGCTCAAGGTCCACAAGGGGGGTGGGAGGTCCACGGGCTGGCTGGAGGCACCTGCGCGGCAGCAGGGCCCCACAATTTGCAGGAGACGGTTGCCTGATGCCGCAGCCTCGGTCTCGTGCAGGCTCGGGTGTTGGACTCTCTCTCCCCCCCCCACCGCCTCCCTTCTGCTCCTCGCTGCCCCTCCCCCGCCCGTTAGCCTTCAATCCCCGCCCCTCGGTCCCACCTTGTCATCCCTCTCCATGTACATCGGTTGCTCTGGGAGCGGCCTTGCCCAGGCTGCGATCAGCGAAAAACAGCCAGAGTAGCAAACAGGGGGTCAGAAAAAAAAACAGACTTTCCGAACACATCAAGTTCATCAGTAATGGTTGCCGCGTAGGTATGGCAGCGTCGGGGCGAGGCAACAACAAAAGTAGGACTTAACAAGACAAGGGCGGGCGCGACAACGAGGCATGAAACAAACAAGGTGTGATCTAGCAGAGAATGATCGACGAAACATTGTGGCGGTGCTGGTGATTAAACTAGTGGTGCTTGTGCTGGGGGGCTGTGATGAAGGATGTGCTAGGCATGTGTGTGTTATGTGTTGTGTGACGTGTGTGAGTTGTGTGTGAGTTGAGTGTGGTGTGTGTGTGTGATGTGTGCGTTGTGCGTTGTGTGTATTGTGCGTGTGCGTGTTTGTGTTTGTCTGCCTGTCCGTCTGTCTGTCTGTCTGCCTGTCTGTGTGTCTGCCTGTCAGTCTGCCTGTCGGTCGGTGGGTCGGTCTGTCTGTCTGTCGGTCTGCCTATCTGTCTGTCTGCCTGTCTGTGTGTGTGTGTCTGCTTGTGTGTGTGTCCGTGTGTAGTGTGTATGTGTGTGGGTGCGCGTGTATGTTGTGTGCGTGTTGTGTATGTTGTGTGTGTTGTGTGATGTGTCTTGTGTGCTGTGTGTTGTGTTGTGTGTTGGGTGCATGTGTGTCTCTGTCTGCCAGCACAACCTCCCTGCACAACCCTCGAGCACAACCCCAGCACAGCCCCCCATCACGACTCCCCAGTTCAGCTCCCCAGCACAACCCCCCAGCACAACACTCTAGCCCAACCCCACAGCACGAACTCCCAACACAACCCCCAGCACGACCCTCCCCAGCCCAACCACTCAGCACAACTCCCCAGCACGACCCCCCAGCACCACTCTCCAGTGCAACCACGCGTCACGACCCCCCAGCACGACCCCCCCAGCAAGGCCCCCCGACATGACCCCAAGCCAAAACTTCTAGCACGACCCCCAAGCACAACCCCCCGCAAGGCCCCCCGGGCATGACCCCCCGTCGCAGACCGCTGCACAACCCCCTAGCACAATCAATCCCCCAGCACAATGTCAGCACAACCCCCAGCAGAAACCCCTAGCACGACCCCCCAGCACGACCCCCCCAGCACAACGCCCAGAACAAGCCCCAGCACAACCACCAGCAAAACCTCCCAGCACACACACACGCACAACCCCCTAGCACAACCACCACCAGCACAACGGGCACCACGAGCACAACGGGCACCACCAGCACAACCACCAGCACAACCGCCAACATAACCGCAACCACGACTGCCAGCACAACCGCCAGCACAACCACCAGCACAGCCACCAGCACAACCACCAACACGACGTCATCGACGCTACCTTTCTTGAACTAGGTCGTCGAGCATCACCTGCACGACGATCCCAGGGCATGACACAAAACACAGAATCGTCAAAACACGCTTTGGTAGTGGGTCCACGAAGTCTGAGCTGCACATGTCAACTGCCTCACCCGATCCTCCTAGCTGCTCCATGCACCTCTCCACCCCTCCCCCTGCACTCCTTCCGCTCATCATCCACACCCTGCCGGGCGCAGCAGAAGAGGCGGACAGGACCCGCTCCACCTCACGCCCCGGGGCCATCCCTGTGGTGTCGCCTCGTGCGTTATCCGCCACCGCCGAGTCAGCATCAGGATGGCATGAGGCGCAGGCAATCTCTCTCCGAAGCGCGAGCGCGCAGCCCGCCAGGCCGGCCGAGGAGACAGGCAGGTGCAGGCAGACGAGATACCAACGCGAGCGCTCCCGATCGCGCGCTCAGTGTGCACAGCCTCGTCGAGCTCGACAGGTCCACTCCCGAGCCTCACGACTCGCCCCCACCCTGCTCCCGCCTCGCGAGGACCAGAGGGCGACCGGGCTGTGCCGGAGGGCGCCAGGCGCGCCCGCGTGAACGTGCCGCCGGCGCCGCCAGGCAACCACATTGGAACCATACGCTTGCGGGTGAGAGCTCTGAAAAACCAGCTGGGACTCAGGGTTCGAAGGAGGCCTGCAGCCAACTGAACCCCAGGGAATGGGTGTCCGATACCCCAGCATCGGTCGCACCCGTAGGGTCAGGATTCGCAAGCGGTCGCAGAGCCGCAGCACACCGCTTCCGTGGACGCTGGCATGGCGCCTACCCTGCAAGTGTACGATCGGGAGCTTTGGCTTAGAGTGTCGCGGCGGCGGCCCCGGCGGCTCGCCATGCCATGCGAGCTGATAGCGTGCCGCTCCGCTGCGCGCTGCGGAAGGCTCGGAGGAGCTCGGAGCGTTGACGCCTGGGGACCGGGCAGTGGACAACTTGCGTGCCGCGCCAGAGAGTGGTGGGCACGGACCCGCGGCGCGGCACGCCATCCAGAAGTTCCCGACCGTACGGCGGCGGGGCCGACCGCGGCGGAGGAGGAGGAGGAGGAGGAGGAGGAGGAGGAGGAGGAGGAGGAGGAGGAGGAGGAGGAGGGGGAGGAGGGGGGGGAGGAGGAGGAGAGGAGGAGGAGAGGGGGAGGAGGAGGAGGAGGAGGAGGAGGACCCCCTCGCGGAGGGCTTGGGGCCGCTCCCTCGGCGGGGTCGGCGGAGGTCGGCGGGCCAGGGCCTCGCCGAGCACGGCGAAGAGGCCGGCGCCACGCGGTCGCTTCACACATCCGTTAGGGGCTTAGGACGACTCCTGCCGTCCCGCGACTCGCGCTGGAGCGGCCGCGATTTGCTCAACGGTTCCCTGGAGATCGTTGGAGTGACCTCGATTTATCTGGTGGGTGTAGCTCAATGTTATCTGCATTCGCCTTGATTCAATCGGCTTGGTCCCCACAAGCGGACTGGCGAAAAGTAATGAAGCCCTCAGGGACACCTCCTCCTCCTCTTCCCAGCCCACCCACCGCAGACCTGGTTCCCCACCCGCTTCCCGACCCTGCTCACCCTCCCTCCCTCCTTCCTCTTCTCCCCCTCCCTATCCCTCTCCTCTCCCTTCCCCCCCCCCCTCCCCCTCCCTCTTCCCCCTCCCTCGCTCTCCCTCTTCCCCCTCCCTCGCAACTCCTCTTCCCCCTCCTGCCCCCGTGATCCCCCCTCACTGCACCCCTCCCTCACTATTTTTTCCTATTTGTGTTGAATGTTCCTCCTGTAGAGAGACTGGCCCGACTTAGTCCTAGCCTTAAGTCGGGCCTGTGCCCCTACAGGGGGATGTTCGACGAAAAAAAAGATACCCAAAGAAATCCTCCAAAAAGGTAAAACAACTTTTAAAAAAAGAGAAAGTCCCCAGACTAGTCGTGGACTCTTTTTTTTTTAAAAAAATGTGGGGTATTTGTATTTATCTCTCGTCGAAAATCCCCCTGTAGGGGGACACGCCCGACTTAGTCCTAGCCCCGTCCGGCGGGTCCTTCACCCAGGTCCACACGTCGCAGCGCTTGTGCTCCTCCTGACACCTGGGAGCGGCGGGGGCATCGCCGGAGCCCGATCCTCGGCTCGGCCCCAAGATTCGTCGTCATCTGTCCTCCAGATGATTCCTCCTGCTCACTGCTCGTCCTCCTCCTCCTCCTCCTCCTCCTCCTCCTCCTCCTCCTCCTCCTCCCCTCCTCCTCCTCCTCCTCCTCCTCCTCCTCCTCCTCCTCCTCCTCCTCCTCCCCTCCTCCTCCTCCTCCTCCTCCTCCTCCTCCGCCTCCTCCTCCTCCTCCTCCCCTCCTCCTCCTCCTCCTCCTCCTCCTCCTCCTCCTCCTCCTCCTCCTCCTCCTCCTCCTCCTCCTCCTCCTCCTCCTCCTCCTCCTCTCTCCTCCCACTCGTGTCCTCCATCCTCCCGCCTCGTCCGCATCATCGGTCAAGCCCTCCTCTTCCGTAGCTTCGACTTCATCCCTCCTCGGTCGCGGCTTCCGTTTCCTCCCGTCCTCGTCATCGCCCTGGTCCTCTTGTTCTCCTAATGCTTCTCCTTCTCCTCCATCCCTTCCTTGTCATCGTTACTATCTTCCTCCTCCTCCTCCTCGCCCTCCTCGTCCTCCTCCTCCTCCTCCTCCTTCCTCGCACTCGTCCGGCTCGTCCTCCATTTCCCCTCTCGTTCTTGTACTTTCCTCCTTCTCATCCGCGTCCGCATTCTCCTCGTCCTGTGATGTCGCAGCTGCTCGAGCTGTGATGGTCCTCCTGCTCCAGCTGCTCCTCCTGTTCCGCATGATCCGCATGCTCCGCATGCGGCTTGTCGCGGTCGCTTCTGAGACGATCCAGAAACGATCCGGAATGAATTGGGGCGTATGTCGCCTTTGATGCCTTGAGCGAGCCGGGAGTTCTCTTGGCGTTGGGGCAGAACTTTCAGGCAACAAACGTGGCTCTCTCCGCCGAAGCAACGCAGGGGGTCGGGATCGGGGCCTCGCGGAGGCTCCGAACAAAAACTCGCAGTCCTCACTGCCTCGGCAAAGATGATCGACTTCTCTGGTGAAGGCTGGCGATGCTGGCGCTCGCAGCGGCAGACACAGGAAGGAACGCTCTTGCGGGACCCGTGGCTGAGAACCTGGCCTCGTCGGCCCGCTTCAGCTCAGACACAGACATTCGGGGGCGCGCAAACATGGATTGGCGATCGATGGATTTGGCGCGCGGTCGCCAAATCCATGGATCGGGGGAGGTGCCCTCCCCAAAATACGGCCGGTGCCGCCCCGCTCAGCGGCGGAAATCCGCGATGTCCCATGGAAACAGGACCCGACGCTGATCCACGCCCCCTTAATCCATGTTTGCGATCGCCTGTGGGAGGGGCATTGGAGGGTACTCGGTGTCTTGAGCCCCCTGCCCCGCTCCATTTCGAGCACGCCCTGAAGGCATCGGCAGCAGCCTTCCCTTCCTAGCTATTGTGATTCAGTGTGCTTATAACACGCGCCTGCCAGACATGGAGGATGAGGGGGGGGATGAGGTCCGAGGAGAAGCAGGAGAAGGGCGAGGAGGATCGGCACCGAGGGTCGGCAGCGGGAGGAGCAGCCGGGCCAGAGGCTCCCAGAGCGCGCAGCCTCGGCGCCGCACGGGCCGCGCCAGGGTGCCCGTGGGCTGCCAGTCCTTCCCTCTGCGCTGCGGCTCCATTGGAGCCAGCGGACAGCAGAGTCTCGGGCAGGGCGACGGTGTACCCCATTGCCTGCCCGCCAGACCACCCCACCCCAACCCAACCCGAAGACCCGAATTGCCAGTTTGGGTTGGGTACGTACGAGTTCCACCTGCGGTTCCTCAGTGTTCCCTGACCCCCCTCAAAGCCATCCCTCCTCCGCCTCCTCCTCCTCCTCCTCCTCCTCCTCCTCCTCCTCCTCCTCCTCCCTCCTCCTCCTCCTCCTCCTCCTCCTCCTCCTCCTCCGCCTCCTCCTCCGCCTCCGCCTCCGCCTCCGCCTCCGCCTCCGCCTCCTCCTCCTCCTCCTCCTCCTCCTCCTCCTCCTCCTCCTCCTCCTCCTCCTCCTCCTCCTCCTCCTCCTCCCCTCCTCCCTCCTCCCTCCTCCCTCCTCCCTCCTCCCTCCTCCCTCCTCCCTCCTCCCTGGAGAGCGCATAGTGAAGTCTTCGGGTTAGGTGAGGGTGGCTCGGTGGGCAGTGACCATCGGAGCCCACGGACCGCTGTGCCTCGGGCAGGGTGACGGCGCACCTCACCCAAGGGCTCCCCAGCTTCGTGCTCCGCGCTGCGCCACAGCGCGAACTGCGAACAGCTTCGCGCTCGCTCGCGCCGCCCTCCTAGGGGGGAAGAGGAGGAGGAGGAGGAGGAGGAGGAGGAGGAGGAGGAGGAGGAGGAGGAGGAGGAGGAGGAGGAGGAGGAGAACCACGAAGCGCGAAGCGCGAACAACTTTGCGCCCTCGAGGGCGCCCCTGCTGATCATGCGTGCCGATCCCTCGATGCCTACATCTTGGCGGCGCTAGTCTGCCGCCCTGGCCTCTGGCAGGCCAGCGCCGGCCCCAGGTGTGCACGTCGGAGCTCGCCTGCTGCCACTGCCGCTCCCCCCATGCATCCTGCGCCTCCGCCCCCCTGCGCCCCTGGTCCAGGACACCGAAGCGGGGGGGCGGAAGCGAAGGGTGAAAGGGCACAATGGCAATCTGCCCTTACCTCCTCCTCCTCCTCCTCCTCCTCCTCCTCCTCCTCCTCCTCCTCCTCCTCCTCCTCCTCCTCCTCCTCCCCCTCCCCAGCCCACCCCAGCTCCACGGCCACCCTGCTGCTGCGAGGCGCAGAGGCCACATCAAGCGGGGCTGCCTGGCACAGCAGTCCGCAGGCGTGGGGACGTGGTCGATGTGCGTGGCCCAGTCGCCTGCGAGGGGGGAGGGGAGGAGGGGCGAACGAACGAACGAGCGCTGGAGTCGTGCGCGCTCCGCTGGGGAGCCCGTCCGTGCTCATTAGGGCGTGGCGTGCAGGCCCTAGCCTCGAAGGTGGAGCGTGAAGCATGGCACGGCAGGGGGGGGGTGAAGAGGTGGGAGAGGTCGGCAGAAAAAACGAGAGCGCGGGAGGGAGAGGGGAGGCGAAGAGGGGGCCGGGGAGGGCGAGACGGAGGGAGGGCGAGGGAGAGCTCGGACGAGACGGACATGCAGGGAGGCGCGCGAGGGAAAAGGAGGGGGACAAAGAAGAGGGGGGATGGGAGAGGAGGGAGGTGGCAAGCTAGGTGCGCTCTGACACCCTATCCCTTCCAGCCATCCCTTCCCATTGCGCCGATGTGTCTTGATCCGTGGACATGCGCCAGAGCGACCTGCAGCTCCAAGGACCTCACCATGTCATGCGCACTCGGAGCAGGGGAGCTGCGTGCATTGGTGGGGGAGGTGGCGGATGAGCAGGAGGGGGCAGGAGGAAGGGGAGCGGAACAGGAGCTTGAGCGGGAGAAGCGGGAGGAGCAGGATGACCAGGAAGAAGCGGGGGGGGAAAGGAGCGGGGCGACAATGACGAGGAAGCATTCGGATCCAGAACAGTGGCCCACGATGAGGCAAAAACACAATTCTGAACGACGGGAGCAAGGCGCCGAAACGAGACCAACGCTGCAGCGGGAGCACCATTTTAGACACCGAGAACGCTCCGATCGAAGAAACAATGGTAAACATTAACAGTTGAAACCCAGTGTACAAAACAATTCGCGGAAGGGGTCGCTCCACTCCCCAGCCATCTTCCAGGGGAGAGATGAGAATACTATTCATATAGCGGGCTCAAAAAAACCATACCAAAAAACACATTGGCATCTCTTGGGGGGCCGAATATCACCTCCGCCGGCTTCCCCCGGCCTTCCGCCTGTGTCCGCACGCGGAGGCGGTCTCCCTTTATTTCCGCCGTCTTCCGATGGCCTTCTGCCGCCTTCCGCTGCGGAAGAGACGGCAACTCCTTCGATCCTCGAAGACGAGGCCCTTTCTTGAATGCCGCCGATTGAATTGTGGGGAGTGGGAGGAGGGGGAGAGAGAGAGAGAGAGAAGTAGCGGACCTTCTTCCCTCCGTGCACTGAGGGGGGTGCTCGCCTCACCAGCTGCGCGGCAGCACGCGGGGGTACCAGGAATGCCCCCAGGGAGGAAGGGAATGGATGTGTTCGGTTGCCCCCACCCAAGCCATCACGCAAGAGGGAGGTGGAGGGGAGGGGGAGGGGAGGGGGAGAGGAAGGAGGGGGAGGGGAAGGAGGGGGAGGGGAACGGGATGAGGGGAGGGCGAGGGGTGGGGGGGAATGGGGGGAGCTCAAAAGGAAGACTCCGGCGTCAACCTCCTCCATACGCCTCCTCCTTCTCCTCCACCTCCTCCTCCTCCTCGCCTTCGCTCCCTCGTTCCCTGCCTCCCTCTGGGAAGTAGAGGGGGAGGAGGAAGAGGAGGAGGAGCAGAAGGAGGAGGAGGAGGAGGAAGAGGAGGAGACTTGGAGACCTCCCCATGCATCCCTCCCCTCAAGCCACCGTCAACAACGAAGTCCACATCTTCGTGCTGCTGACCGCACTGGTTCGGGTCGAAATCGTCATGGGTCTTGGGAAGCTTGACTTCCACCTGGACACGTCCGAAGTCCTCCTCCCTCACCTCCTCCTCCTCCCCCTCCTCCTCCTCCACCTCCTCCTCCACCTCTCACCTCCTCCTCCTCTTCCTCCTCCTCCTCCTCCTCTCCTCCTCCTCCTCCTCCTCCTCCCCCCAACTCCTCCTATCACTCCTCCTCCTCCTCCTCCTCCTCCTCCTCCTTCTACTACTACTCTTCCTTCCTCCTTCTCCTCCTCCTCATCCCCCCACTCCTCCTCACATCCTAGATCACACTGGAGGACCTGAGCAGCAATCGGGAGCACCGTTGAGCAACAGCGACGGAGCGCTTGGGAGCGCTGAGCAGCAGTCCGAGTATGGCCAGAGCTGCCTTCTCCTGCACTGGCGAAGCGAAGACGTAGGAGGATGGATGTTCGCAGGCCGGACGGGCACCGTGAAATCTGACCGAGGGCAGGAGAAGGTAGGAGGGTCAACGATCCAAAATGTCGCCGCAGAGACCAGACGCGCGCGGAGGGGCCGAGGGCCAAAGAAGCCATGGGCAACCCCGGTGCCCCGTGCGGAAAAGGGGAAAACCTGGCCAGCCACCCGCGGCGACGACGAGGACGCCGAAAACCCACGAAGGGTCACCGAAAACCGAAGGAACGCCGAACACTAACGAAAGGGCACCGGAAACTCAAAGTCAGTCTGAAAGACGCTGCTGGGAAGTCTCGGGGTACCGATGTGCTTGGAATGATCGTAAACAATCAGGTTGCCGATGTCGGACGACAGTGTACCGCAACGCGAAGCAAAGCGAAGCAAGCCGTGACCCACAGTCATCAACTTGGCTGACTGGCAGTCCGAACTCGAGCAATCAAGTGAGTCGAGGTCTCCAGGGATCAACCTCGGAGGGGACATCAAGCGCTGCGCACTTGCACCGCGAACACATAACCGTCGATGTTGTCTTTTTTGTGGATGCCATGGCCATGGAGAGCCTAACACTCCGATCATGGAATTAACCTCATGCCCGTGAGAATAAACACTAGGGGATAATGAAGTTCGGGGTTCAGGGAGAGATAATAAAAGTAGCCCAGCAGACCTCAGCATAATCTCGAAGTAAGAGATGATCAAGAGGAGACCAAGCCGAGCACGTTTTGAGACATCCTTGGCGTTTAGTTTTCATAGAAAAATCCTCAACAATGGCTTATCCCGCTGGAATGGAGGAAGCTATATGTAAAAAAGAAAAATAACAAGAAAAAATAATTAAATAAAAGAAATGATTTGAGGAGGAGAAGGACGAAGAGAAGAAACAATCTCGAGTTTCAAATCTATTAGATTTTATTTACAAGCGCTTTATGAACATTGTTTTTTTGTAAGTGCTCGTGTAGGGTAGCTCATGTGCCTCAATTTCCATGGATAATCAACCCCAGAGATAAAAAAGTTCAGGCGAGCGTGGGGACAGAGAGAAATATAAAAGAAGAAGAATACAGTAGAAGAATAATAAGAAAGAAGAAGAAGAGGATAATAAGAAGAGGACGAAGAAAGGAAAAATCCAAAGTTCCAAATCTATCAATTTTAATTTACAAACGCTTTATGAAAATTGATTTTTTAAGTGCTCGTGTAGGGTAGCTCATGTGCTTCATTTTCCATGGATAATCAACCCCAGGGATAAAAAAGTTCAGGCGAGCGTGAGGACATATAGAAATATAAAAGAAGAAGAGAAAAAGTAGAAAGAATAAAAAGAAGAGAAGAAGAAGAGAAGAAGAAGAAGAAGAGAAGAAGAACGGAAAAATGGAAAGTTCCAAATCTATCAATTTTAATTTACAAGCGCTTTATGAAAATTGATTTTTTAAAGTGCTCATGTAGGGTAGCTCATGTGCTCCCCTTTCCATGGATAATCAACCCCAGAGATAAAAAAGTTCAGGCGCGCGCGGGGATAGCAACATCGCTTGATGTTGCTATCTCAACATAGCGTTTCGAGGTGATAATGAAGTTCGGCCTCAGCGCTCGCCGCCCAATTTGAATTTTGTATAGGGCGACGATAATCAACTCTAAACACTGAAGGGGGGGGTCCCTTTATTATCATCGGCATGCGGTTATTCCCTACCTAGGCTCTGCCTAGAAGAGTTTTTACTCGCTAAGCTTAAAGGGCCGGGCAATGCAACTCGCCCCGGGCGGTTCCCCCGGCATCCGCTCCGCGGTTCCCCCAGTGACGTGCCCTTAGCTTAGCGTTGCTTATCTCATCTTAGCTTAGCTTATTTCATCTTACCTTAGCTTCATCTTAGCTTAGCTTAGTTTCACATAGATGTTGCTTTCCTAGATCCTCCAACTCCTAGGTAGGGTCGCACTGGGATAATTGATGTTTTTGAACTGTTGTTTTCAGCCCTGGAGATGTCAAACAACAATGTGCTACCGAATGCAGGCTGCGATGCCCAGCTGCGCCTGCTGCGCGAAGCCGCCTCGAACCACCCCGCAATCGCTGATCCCGCGCGCCGCAGCTGCTGGAGCGCAGGGCGAGCGCTGGAAGCAGCGCGCGCGCGCGCCCACCAACTATCGCCGCGCGGCGCGCGGAGGGCGACAAGACGTCCACTTGCAGATCCAGCAGGGCCCGCGCCCGCGCGGAGGACGCCCTGGCCCGATATCGGCGCGCGCGCTCGCGCGCGCTCGCGCTCCCCCGCGCGAGCTCCGACGGGCGCCCGGCCCCACGCGGCGACGCCCGCGGCCCCTCGTGGCGACGCCCGCGGCCGAGGAACAACGGAGGCGCCTCGCGCAGAAGCTGCGGGGGTGGCCGGGGGCCGCGCCCGGCCCGCAGGGGCCCGGCGGCCCCGCGCGCGTGGCGGCCGGGAGGCCGCGCGCGATAGGGCGCGCGCGGAGCGCTGTCGAGAGCCCGGGGCGCCCGTTCCGAGGCATCCCCGGGCGCAGCAGGCGCCGATGCACGCGCGGGACCTGACGCCTGCGGCCTCTGGTCGTTCGCCCGAAGGTTCTCCCCCCCCCCCGGAAGCGCGCCCCGCCCGCCGGCCCCGCGCGCCCCGAGGCCACCCCGCGGGCCGCGGCATCGCCGCGACCTCGCTGGCCGCCCAGAGAGCTGCGAGGAACTCCGGGGAGCCGCGGGGGGCAGCGGCGCGGGGGAGGGGCCGCGCGCAGGGTGCGCAGAAGCGGCGGCCATCCTGAGCAAGCACGCCCTCGCGGGCGGGCACTCGCGGGGAAAGCCTCGCGGACAAGCTCGGGCGGGCTGGCGCCGACAAGCGCGCGCTGGCAGGCAGGCCCTCTGGGCGAGACCCCAGCGGGCGAACGCGAGGGAGCTGGCCGAGCAAGCACGCCCTCACACGCAGACGCTAGAAAGCAGACCCCGGTGGTCAAAACCTAGCGGGCAAGCACTTCCGCGAAGGCCCTAGCAGGCACGACCTGAATGAAGGGCGGCACTTCCCGAGCAGACCCTAGACATCAGACGCTCTCAGAAAAACTCAAGCGGGCATGCCCTAGCGGGCATGCCGTATCGGGCAGGCTCTCACGAGCCAGCCCTAGCGGGCAAGCCCCAACCAGCGGCCCCGCGCGGGCAAATGTTTGCGGGCAGACTACCGAGCAGGCCCTGCAGCGGACAGCCCGTAGCCAGCATGTCCTCGCGGGCCCTGGAGAGCATATTCTGGCGGGGCGGCCGCGGCGGGCAGACCAGAGCGGGCGCGCTGGGCGCGCCCTCGCGAGGACTGGCCAACTGGTGAACCCTGGCGAGGAATCCCTGGCGGGCCATTCTTCGCCGAGCGGGCCCTCGCGGGCAGACCCCCGAAAGCCAGCGCGGGCGAACGGACCCCGGTGGGAGAGCTCAGGCGACTGGCAAAATCTAGCACACAACCCCAGCGAGCATCCAAACGGAAAAGCCCTGGCAGGTACTCCCTGCAGGCAGACCCTGGCGGGCGGGCCTGAGCGGCCAGATCCTCGCGGACAGAGCTCGGCCAAAAAGCCCTCGCGGCCAGGCCGTGGCGGGCAGATCCCGGCAAGGCCAAAGCTAGCGCGCTCGATAACTAGCAGAGACTTGCGGGCGCACCCTAGCGAGCAGTCCACGGCGACGGCGGGCATGCCGTGGCGCGCAGACCCTTGCAAGGAGGGCATTTCCTGAATGGCGGGCCGTGACCCAGGCGGGTAAAGGCCCTCGCGGGCAGGCCTTCACGGACAAGGCCGAGATGGCAGACCCGAGCAGGCAGGCCCGAGCGAGCAGGCGCTACTAGACAGACCATATCGGGCAAGCCTCAGTGGGCAAGCGGGGCGCCCGCGGGGGGCCGCCGCCCATGGGGGGCCGCCTAGGGGGGGGGGCGGCCTACTATGGGAACCGCTTGTGAGGAATGATTAATTAACGGGGGCCGCCTATGCGACGCCCCCCCTATGGGGGCCAACTATGCCCCACCATCCCGCCCCACCCCCCAGCACATGAGAAGCTGTCCATCCATGGGGACTTGGCTTGACAATGAAACTTCACGCGCCCCGTCCCCGGTCCTGGGTCCCGGGTCTCGGGCCCCGCGCCGGCGTCCCGGGCCTTCATCCGCGGGCTCCCGGGTCCCGAGCCCCCGGGGCGCGGTCCCGCATGCCGCGAGCGGGGTCCCGCGCCCGCCCGGGTCCCAGGTCCCGGGCCCTCACTCCCGCCAGGTCCCGCATCCCTGTTCTGGGTCCGGGGTCCCGGGTCTCGGGTCCCGTCGGGCCCTGCCCGGTCCCGGGCCCGGGTCCCGGGTCTCGGGTCCCGGGTCCCGGGTCCCAGGTCCAGGGTCCCAGGTCCTGGGTCCAGCCGAGATTCCTATGGTTTTTCCATGTTTCCTCGCTGCGCGTCTCTGGGCAAAATGTTTTCTCAATGCTTTTTGATTGTTTCTCGCCGGGCGCCCCCTGGGATGTGTTTTCGATGTTTTTGTTCGTAGTGTGTTTTAATATGGATTTCCCATGTTTCGGGAACAAAAAATCGAACACACACACACACACACACACACACACACACACACACACACACACATATATATATATATATATATATATATATATATATAACATGTTCAACACATTTGTTTCACATCTCAGCCGCCCGCGAATGCCCTGTTTCTGTCCGGGCGAGGTGTGAAATGACCCTGGCGACGTACCCAACCCCTGCGCAATGAGGGGCATGAGTAGCTTGGGAGACGTTACACGGAGGTGATGATGTGACATGGGCGCATATACTTCTGCGCGCGGCATTCGTGAGGCTCGCAGCCCCCCAAGGATTGCGAGGTCCCGCTCAGATCTGCGTGGTGCCTCACTCCGCTGGACCCACCAGCCGCCCTCGAAAGTGGCGACAATTTCGCAGATCGCAGCCCCCCAGGGATGGCGAGGTCCCGCTCAGATCTGCGCCGTGCCTCACTCCGCTGGACCCACCGGCAGCCCTCGAAAGTGGCGACGGTTTCGCAGATCGCAGCACACCCCGCGGTACGGCAAGAGGTACGCACACGGCAAGAGAAGACAAGAGGGAGGCGGGAGAAGAAGACGCGACCGCGGTGCTCTATTCAAAACGAATACGTACCCAACCAAGGAGGGCTGGGGAAAAATGTTTCAATTAACCATGTCTCAAACATGTCTGTGCGCCGGGGAGCCGCGCCGGCGCGCGCCCCCCCCGGCGCGCTCCCGCCGGCGGCCGTTCTGGCGCTTCCCCCGCGGGCGCGCTCCCGCCGGGCGAGGGCCGGGGCCAGAGCCGCGACTGGGGCCAGGGCTGGGGCTGCAGCGGGGGGGGCCAGGGTCGAGGCATGGGGCCCCAACAGGGGCCGAAACCAGCACCCAGCACGCAACAGAGCCCCGTGGCCCATGACGGCCGGTCGGGGCCCTCGGCATCCCATGGAGACCCCAGGATTTCCAAGCGGCCTGGGGGGCCCAAGGAGCCCCAGAGACAGCCCTAACGCATTCACCGACGGCTCGGACGGGCCGAAGACGGCGAAGCACAGCACCAGTGCAACCCGAACGGGCCCCAAGACAGCGACCGCCCCAGACGGCTCAACGAAAGCACTAGGGCAAGGTAGCAGGAGCCCCTGGCAATCCCAAGATGGCCCGAATAACCCCCATGATAACTTGCAACACATGGGGGGGGGGCAGGAGGTGCCACAGGTCACGGCCTCCTGGGCCGTGCGAGGCGCGTCGCCGCGCGGGGCGGAGCCTCAACAGGGTGCCGGAATGGATGTGACCGGCATCCCGACGCGGCGGCCGCCCCTCTTCCTGTGCGCTAGAACACGCAAAATTACCGCGCAGAACGTTTCCGCGCGCCCCAGGCGCACTTTCAACAAACATGCACGTATAACATTGAGGACTTATCGAGCTCGCAGATGACAGCGCGTATACTTTGGTTTACATACAAGCGAACAGTTTTGAAGCATCAGAAAAATATCTGGACAGTATTGGGCAGCATGACTCCTCTCCATTGATCGTCTTCCACAACTGTCCTTAGGCCTGTCATCTGAAGTTGATCGCGAGGCGCACCTTTCAATACGTGCAAAAGGAAGCTCGTAAGCCCTGGCAAGAATCACGCTGTCGCCCGGCACACCCCGAGCTATAAATGGCGACGAGGACGATACCCTGGCACATGAGCCGGTGGCAGCGGCCTCTCGCGTCGGGGGCCCCAGCCTCGCCATCCACGCACGAGCGGCGAACATGTCCGTATCCACGCCATCGCGGTCTGCATTCGCGGGCGCGTGCCCGCGAACACGCGTTCCCACCGAGACGTTGCGCCCAGGGCATCCGGGATTTATGAAGGCCCCGTAATTATATCCGCGGGGTCGCGGCCCAGGTGCCCCGCCGGCGAGGCCGCCGATACGGACATGTTTTTCGCCCACGAAGCCATACAGTCATCGGCCTGACCTAAGGAACGATAAATAAGCAACGAAGCCCCTCTTTTATCTCAAGGAATAACGCATAAGGAACGATAAATAACACATAACGCATAAGGAACTGTGAATAACGCATACAAGCCTAAGGAACGACCGAGCCCCTTTTGAAAAGTAAGTGTTCCTTATTCGAGCCGCTCGCTGTGGCCAGCCAAGTCTACAGGGCAGGAATGAAGTCCACCCCCACTTTGATCACCCCGACACGCGAGGCCGCGTAGCAAAAACGCACCCACAGAAGAGATCGAACAGAGCGGGGCCGTTTCGGTAAACGCCTGGGGCCGTTCAGTACACGCCGAGTGTCGGGTCCAGGTGATTTTTCCTCCCTTGTAATGCTTCAGCCTCTTCTCAACAATCAGGCGGGGGACCACCAGAGGGTTGGGGCCCTGAGGGTAGGACGTGGATCAAAGGCTGCACCTTGACTGAGTGAGGTTCTCGTCCTTAGGCCCGCCCCCCCCCAGAACCCCCGCGTCATGATTTTGTTCGACACGTCGACGCCCAGAGGTCCCCCAGAGTGAGGTTCTCGTCCTTAGCCCCCCCCTCCCCCCCAGAACCCCCGCGTCATGATTTGCTTCGAAACGTCGACGCCCAGAGGTCCCGACTCATCCCCCGGGACCAATTGCTCATCCCGAGTCGATGTTGATGGCCCCGGGGCCCCGCAAGGGCCTCCCAGGGGCCGAGAATTAACTCGGGCATGTCCCCTCTACAAGCGGATTGTGGACAACTACAAAAATAGTCAAACAATCAATAAAAAACGTACTCAAAAATATACAAAAAAATCCCCAAACTATCTTGAACGGCGTTTGAATAGTCCTCCTGTGGAGGGACAGGCCCGACGTAGGCCGAAGACCGAGGAGCAAAACCCTTCGTGGCTTTGCTGCCGCGGCTCCAGGCAGTCTGGGCCTCTGGGCCCCCCCGTCGACCCGCCGAGGGGGCGTGGAGGGCGCGGAGGGGGGCGCGCGGGGGAGGCCGCCGTCTCCAGGCAGTACGTCGAGTAGTTCCTCGTGGCGATGGTGGTGGAGGCGAGGGTGCGCTCGCCGAGCCCGAACATGCCGAACGTCATCTCTCCTGCGAGGGCGCAGGAGGAGGAGGAGGAGGAGGAGGAGGAGGAGGAGGAGGAGGAGAAGGGCGAGGGTGAGGGGGGCGCCGCTGGGGCGGGGTGGCGGGCGGGCAGCCTCACGGCCCTCCTCGTGAGTGCGCCGCCGCTCCTGCAAAGGACAGAGACGGCTGCTGCTCGCTCTCCCCGCTTCCCTCCTCCCCCTGCGGTCTCGCTCGGCTCGTCTCGTGCCCGCGACTCTCGGGATGCTCTTGTCGGCCTCGGGCCAGGCAGGGCGCACCGTATGCTGTTCTGTGCCCCCGCTGGGTGCAGCGGCGTGGGGCGGAATGCAGTCCAAACTACACCTCGCCTCCCTGGGCTACGCTGTGCATACACCAGTCGATACTTAGGTCGGGCATGTCCCCCTACAAGCGGATTGTGGACGACAGATCGACAACAAATTACACAACATATTGAAAAATATACAAAAATCATTCAACAATCGTCCCAAGACTATGCTTAAACTATTTCTGAAGATTCCTCCTGTTGAGGGACAGGCCCGACGAAGGTCTACACCAATGCCCCCGGTGGGAAGCTACCCAAGGGCAGCCACTCGCACACCGAGCTTTCCCAACGACAAAGAAGACGCACAGCAGCCTCAGGAAAGCTCCCATGAAGGCGAGTGCCAGACGCGTTGAGCGCAGGGCCCCGTCCGCCCCACCCCCGGAGTGCTGTCAAACGTGCGAGCGTCGCCCCCTGCCCTGAAGCACTTCGGGGGTCCAGCGGACTGCACCATTCCCCCTGGCAAGCCACCAGCCCAACAACTGCTGCCACGACCCTCCGCTCCTATGGAGCCCAGCGGGGGCCCCCCGCATGCTTTCAGACGTGCAACATATTCGCAAATCGCAAACTTCCTGCGCCCCCTGGAGGTCAAGCGGGGCACCCTCGTACATTGAGCAGGGACCGACCGTTCCGGCATTCCTATAGTCCTACCACGAGATGTTCTTAGAACCCAAACATGTTTTCAGGACAAAAACAATGTCCTTAGAACATGAAACCGATGTGATAAAACAAGACAGGCTCCAGCATAAGTGTTCCAAGAACATTTCGTGGAAACCACAAAAAGGTTTTTCGACCATTGCTTGGCAGGGCTACAGGCGAGCCAGGACGCTTCGCCACTGCCTGAAGACCATTACCCTCGACCTTCCTGGATGCTACCTGGCGCTCCACTGACGAGCACGCCCCGCGCCCCCAGGAGGGGTGCTGCGAGGGCGCCCCCCCACGCAGATCGAACCACGGCAACTGCCACTCCTGGCCGCTGAGCCAGGCGCAGCTGACGCACAAATTCCCACGTGCGAGTTGGGGGGAGCGCGGGCGATGTGACTATTTATCAGAGTGAGGGGGGCCGAACGGTCATTCATTGTCCCTGGGTGCGTGGCTGACTAGGGAGCTCGTGGTGCGAATTCTGCTTGTTGCGTTGTTGTTGTTGCTGTTGTTGTTTGTTGTCGTCGTCCCACCCGCGACCCACCCGCGACCCACCCCGCGACCCACCCCGCGACCAACCCCGCGACCCACACCGCGAACCACCCGCGACCCACCCCGAGACCCACCCCGCGACCCACCCCGCGACCCGCCCCGCGACCCGCCCCGCGACCCACCCCGCGACCCGCACCGCGACCCACCCTCAAGGGAGGAAAACCACCCGGACCCGACAATTGACGTTTACTAAACGCCCCTGAGCGTTTACCAAACAGCCCTGCCCTGTTCGATTTATTCCTTGTGTGCGTTTCCTAAACGGCTTCGCTTGTCGGGGTGATTATTATGGGTGAATTTTCTGCCCTCTACACCCGCGACCCACCCGCGACCCAACAGCGACCCACCCGCGACCCACCCGCGACCCATCCGCGACCCATTTGCGACCCACCCGCGACTTACCCACATTGGTTTAACAAAAAAATCGGCGCCTGCGGCAGGCTCGTTGTATAGTTTGTCAAACTTTGGCGCCTGCGGCGGGCTTCTCCAGAGTCTCGCAAACTGCAGACGTCCCCCCCGCCCCCTCACTGTTCTCCGCCTCTGCGGGGTGCTACGTATTCATACCCAGTGCGTCTTGGCCTGTGTTGGAAGGGACGCTGCAAGGCCGAGGCGCACTGGACATGGATCACGAACGAATTCGAGCCTCCAGGGGCCACGCCTCCATCCATCTCCAGTACTCCTCGGCATTCTTAGGGCAAGGGAGCCCGAAACTCCAAGCTGCACTGGATCGGACTATCGCTCGGACGTCCATTCCCTGTGTTTTTGTTCGGTGTTGTGCGTGGTTTTCATCGCCAAATGATCAAGGATGCTCCTCGATGGTCCTTGGTCCTCGCCGAAGGAAGAATACTCCAGATTTCGTACTGAAAGGGAGGGGGTCTGGACCCTCCAAGACAAGCCATTTCAGACCCCCCCCGTGGGAGAACCCTCCAAAACACCGTCCCCAGACCCCCCCAGGCCCTCCAGGATAGCCTGGAAGAGACCCCCCCCCCAAAATGAGACCCCCCTCCCTTTACTACGAAATCTGGAGTACATACGTTCGAGCGATGCCAGGGGATCCGGACACGAGTCCTCTAGGGCTCCCAACTTCGCGCTTCGCGCTGCGCGCTGCGCGAAGCGCGAATAACTTCGCGCTCTCGCGCCGCCCTCCCAAAGGGAGAATAGGAGGACCAGGACGAGGAGGAGGGGGAGAAGGAACGAGGACCGCGAAGCGCGAAGCGCGAATAACTTCGCGCCCTCGAGGGAGCCCTTGAGTCCTGCGCGCGGGGAGCGCTGCGAGGGTGCCCCGTGGGAGCCGTCGAGCATGCCGCTGCCGCCGCGCGCTGCTTTTCCCAGAGCCGGGCGCAGCGGGCCGCCCGCCTGCGCAGCTCCACGTGTTTTAACCCTCGCCTTATTGGGGGGGGCGCCACCACCTCCTCCTCCTCCTCCTCCTCCACCTCCTCCTCCTCCTCCTCCTCCTCGTCCTCCTCCTCCACCTCCTCCACCTCCTCCTCCTCCTCCTCCTCCTCCTCCTCCTCCTCCTCCGTCGCCTCCTCCTCCTCCGCCTCCTCGTCTTCCTCCTCCTTGTCCTCCTCCTCCTCTTCTCGCCGCTCCCCTGCGCCCCAACGGGGTCCACCGCAACGCCCCTCGGCGAGCAACCGGAAAATAGACTTCGCCTGCTCGGGTGCCTGACAGACGTAGCTGCAAGTCTTGGCACCCATGGGGGTCCGACAGAGCGCACACCCCCTTCGCGAACCCTACGAGACATCAGCATGACCACTGCAGCTTTACTAGAAGAGGGAAAAACGCCAAAACAAACTTTTGGCGCTGCGTGCGGATTTTTTGAAATCTGCGCTGGACCCCCCACCCTGGCGCGCGGAGCGCGCCAAGGGCGGCGCCAGAGGCGCCAACGGTTGGGGCCCAGCGCGGATCCAAAAACCCGCGCGGAGCGCCAACAGTGTATGTTTCTGCCGTTTTCCCTTCTTCGATTTAGGGAGGGGTGAACGCAAACAAAAACACATACTCCAGATGTCGTAATAAAAGGGAGGGGGTCTGGACCCTCCAAGACAAGCCATTTCAGACCTCCCCCGTGGGAGAACCCTCCAAAACATCGTCCCCAGACCCCCCAGGCCCTCCAAGATAGCCTGGAAGAGACCCCCCCCCGAAATGAGACCCCCCTCCCTTTATTACGAAATCTGGAGTATCCCTCGCGCCCTTCGATGCGTTGTTTGGGGGGGATGATGATCGCACGGGGGAAGCTACACTCAATGCACAAGTTAAACACAAGGACAAAGGGGGGAGAGGAGCACGAGCGCACGTGGAAAACGTGGTGATCGTTGGGGACTTTCTCGGAGCCACCCTTGGGGGCTGCTGGAGCCGTCTGGGGCTGTCCTGGGGCATTTTGGCGGCCTCTCCAAACAAGCAGGGCTCTTCTTGGGAGCTTCTGGGGCCTTCCTGGGCTCTCGATGAGCCGCAGGATGCTTCGGGGGCTCCTCGGGCCGTCGAGGCGCCCTCTCGGGCTGTCTTGGAGCTCCCTTGGGTCCTCCGAAGGCCTCTTGGGGCGCCCTGGGGAGTGTATAGGCACCTCTTCGGAGCACTCTGGGAGCACCGGATTGAACGTCCTCGGGTCCGCCTGGGGCCGCCCAGAGGCCCTCCGAGGCGATGCCAGGACGAGAAGCCCGCTTGCTGCGCCTGGTTGGCGCGGTTGGCCGAAAGACTCGCACCGCCCATTGGGGGCGAGGTTGGGCGCACACCAAGGACAAAGACAACAGATCGGCGACCTGCAGACCGCGTGTCGTGCATGACCCGAGGAAGGAGATGTCGTGGAGCACCCGAGGAAGGAGAACAGACCTCGAAATCGTGTCCACACAAACACACACACACACACACACACACACACACACACACACACACACACACACACACGCGCACGCACACATACACACACACACAAACACACACACACACACACACACACACACACACACACACGTCTACGCACATGCGGGTACTCTGTGTCCCTCAATAGTTCTGGGGGTACATGTAGTCCGGGGAAGGTACCTGTAATCCGGGGGAGGGGTACCTGCAGTCCGGGGGGGAGTACCAGAAGAGTCCGGGGTGGGGTACCTGTAGTCCAGGGGAAGGGTACCTGTAGTCCGAGGGAGGGGTACCTGCAGTCTGGGGAGGAACGCGTGTTCACGCGTCAACGCACGCGTGGATATAGCCCTCTGGGGGTACCTGCAGTCCGGGGGGGATGCAGCTGTAGTCCGGGGGAGGGGGGGTACCTGTAGTCTGGGGTGAGTACCTGTAGTCCGGGGGGAGGGGTACCTGTAGCTCGGGGAGGGGGTACCAGTCGTCCGGAGGGTACCTGTAGCCTGGGGGCCCAGAACTATGGAGGGACACACAGGGTATAGAGATCGGCACATGCGCATAATAGCTCGCTTGTGGCGCGGGTTCCCTGAGGCTCGGGCGCCGGCGGAGCGCGAGAGCCCCATGGTGCCCTCCGCCCCTTGCGGGGGTCCTCCTTCCACCCTGGCCGTGCAAAGAGAGGGAGTCGGGGGCGCGCAAGCATGGATCAACGATCCATTCGGGTCGGGCGAAAGGGGGGGATAGCAAAGGGGGGGTGGAAAATCAGCTCGCGTAGCTGATTTTCCCAGCGCCTCCCGGCGCCGGAGGCGGCTATGCATCGAGGAATAGGCCCCTCGGTGAGGCCGAAACCAGCTGCATGCAGCAAATTTCGTAACCCCCCCTTTCCCAATCCCCCCCTTTCGCCCAGCCCGAGATTTGGCGCGGGATCGCCAAATCCATGGATCGGGCGAGGTGCCCTCCACAAAATGCGGCCGGTGCCGCCTCGTTCGGCGGCGGGAATCCGCGATTCCCCACGGAAACAAGACCCGTCGCTGATCCACGCCCCCTTAATCCATGTTTGCGATCGCCTGTGGGAGGGGCATTCGAGGGTACTCGGTGTCTTGAGCGCCCTGCCCCGCTCCATTTCGAGCACGCCGTGAAGGCATCGGCAGCAGCCTTCCCTTCCTAGCAATTGTGATTCAGTGTGCTTATAACACGCGCCTGCGCTCACTTGAACATGTATACGGCTGTTTACAAATCTGACCATGCGCTGGTTCACGATAGTCCTTGTATACTCTATTGCTGGGGGTGATAGCATCCGGAAGATGTGTTTCAGCCGCTGACTTGTGCCGCTGCTGCGACGCAGCCACCGCAGCAAATCTCACCACGCCGGGAAGTACCTTGTGGCTCCCTGTGCGCCACTCGAGGCCCCAAGAGGGAGAGGCTGGCAGCAGAGCCCTGCCGTCTCGGATCGCGCCCGAGCCGCGCGTCACGTGATGATTCCTGCAGCGGCCGGGAGCCGAGACTGGGCCACGTAGACGGGAACCGCGACAAGCAATCCCCAGGTGAGGAACATGAACACCGTCATGACTCCCATGACGGCGGTGGCAACTGACGTGAGGCACACGGCCAGGGCCACACTTGCGGCCACCACGGCGGAGACAAGCAGAGCCTCGGCGCACCTGCGGAGCCGCGTGCCCATCGACTGCGTCGCACCGCAGGGTGAAACTGTGGAGCGAGTGAGGTGGCCAAGACGCGCTTCGGCGCAACCCTTAACGTCAATGCCCACGTGCTTGACCAGGTGATCCGACAAGAACGCTCTCAAGGAGTCCCCGATGTTGAGGTCGAAGGTGACGAGTAGGCCACCCGCTTCGGGCACAGCTTTCCCACCCTCGCCGTCCGACTCCGCAGTGGACGTTCGCGGTTCTCGCCCAGTGTCGGCCTTCGTGGGGTGCGGGCGGACAGGCGGCAGTGAGGATGGGGCGAGGGAGTGTAGAGAGGGAGGGGATGAAGAGCAGGAAGGGGGAGGATGGAATGAAAGGAGGAATGAGGGAGGAGAAGGAGGAGGAGGAGGACGACGACGATGCATCCTCACTCCCTACACCCTCCCCACTGAGTGGACTGCGGTGCCATAAGGAGTTGCAAAAGCCTGGGCCAGCCGCCAAAGGGCCTCTGCGTGCGCTCTCTCCCCGCATACGGGGGGCATGCCGCTGCCTCTTCTCCATCTTGCCCCCCCTCCTCCTCCTCCTCTACTCCTCCCTCTCCTCCTCTCCTCCTCTCCTCCTCTCCTCCTTCCTCTCCTCTCCTCCTCCTCCTCCCCCCTCTCTTCTTCCCTCCTCCTCCTCCTCCTCTCCTCCCCTCCTCCTCCTCCTCCTCCTCCTCCTCCTCCTCTTCCGCCTCCTCCTCATCCTCCTCTCTCCTCCTCGCCTCCTCCGCTCCTCCTCCCCATTGCTTTCCTCCTCCTCCTCCTCCTCCTCCTCATCCTCCCTCCTCCTCATCCTCCTCCGCCACCTCCACCTCCACATCCACATCCACCGCCCCTCATCACCTCCTCTCCTCCTCTCCTCATCCTCTCCTCATCATCATCATCAGCATCATCATGTCTTCTCCTCAATTCACATCCGCATCCATCTCAACCTCCATCACCTCCACTCCATCACTCTTCCTCCTCAATTCTCCTCCAGCGACTCACTACTCCTCCTACTCCTCCTCCATCACCTCATCCCCATCACCTCCTCCTACCCATCCAACCTCCCCTCATCCTCTTCCTCCTCCGCCTACTACGCATCCTCCTCCTCCTCCTACCCTCCTCCCTCCTTCTCCTCCTCGCTCCTCTGGGGGACACGGGTCCCAGGCTCATACTCTACTCCTCCTCGCTCCCTCCTCGCCTCCTCTCGCTCCTCTCGATCTCCTCGCTCCTCCCGCTCCTCTTCGTCCTCCTAGCTCTCCTCGCTCCCCTCCTCCCTCCTCCTCCTCCTCCTCCTCCTCCTCCTCCTCATACTCCTCTCATCCTCCTCTCCTCTCCTCCTCCTCTCCTCCTCCTCCTTCCTCATCCTCACTCCTCCTCCGTCCTCTCCTCCTCCTCATCCGCATCCTCTCATATCATCCTCTCATCATCCTCCTCCTCCTCCTTACCTCCTCCTCTCTCCCTCTCCTCCTCTCACCCTACTTACCCCCTCCTCCTCCCCTCCTCCTCCTTCCTCTCCTCCTCCTATCCTCCTCCTCCTCCTCCTCCTCCTCCTCCTCCTCCTCCTCCTCCTATCCTCTTCCTCGCTCTTCCTCCTCCTCTTCCTCCTCCTGCCCCTCCTCCTTCTGCTCCTCCGCCTCGTCCTCCTAGGTCGGTCGGTCGATCGACCGGTCGGTCGGTCGGTCTGTCGGTCGAACGCTGACTGCAAGACTGGGTCGTAGCCGAAGCAAGCGCGGGAAACAGGCGCAACAAGGAGGGGGAAAGACACTGCAGCACAGAGGGATAGCGGCCGAGCTGGCCTGTCCCCGCCGCGGACCCTCCCCCCGTGATTACACGCCTGTCGGAAGAAGTGGGTAGAAACATGAAGCAGGAAGGCGTTGGAAGTAGATTGGACTTCCGCCCGCCCCCTGAAGAGGAGGGAAGAAGGAAAACCGCTCGACTCTTGAAGTAGGAAGGCGCCTAAAGTAGATTAGGATTTGGGCATCCAAAAATACCTACTTTGAACGACCGGCGTGTACTCCACGCCGGGGGCGAAGGTGACCCCAGGGCTCCCAGGAGCTGCCGAGAGGCGGGGCGGGGGGGATGACGGCCCTGGACGCCCCCCTCTGGGGAAGACAGGGCCCCATAGATGAAGGGGCCCTGGGACACACAAAGAAATACACACAGAAAAAAAGATCCCCCATATTTTCCCATATTTTCTGGGTGTCTGTCTTCCCCCCCACTTCCCATAATTTCCCATATTTTCTGGGGAATCGCCGATTAATTGTGTCTGTGTGTTTCTTTCCCTCCTGAATAGACCTGGACAAGCTGGACCCCGACACCAAACATCCCTCGAAACCAATGTTTGCCAGACGGCGGCACGAACAAAATACTGCACTGCAGCATTTCCAAAAGGAACCCGGGCACGGGCCCAGAAAGCCCGCAAGACCACCCTAAACCCGCACACAAACCCGAATCCTACAGTGCGAAAAAATGCACGGGTGCTGAAAAACGGGACTTTGCAGGGAACGGTGTCGTTTCCTTGGATTTCCGTGTCCTGGTTTATGTGTGTCCTGGTCTGCTACTCCCCGGACCTCTCCCGGGTTGCGTTCTGACCAAGACTTCGAGGCGAGTCCAGCGGTGGCAACGAGGGCCTCCCAGGAGGCCCCAGAAGCACAAAACGAGGCAAGGGCAGCAGCATGTGTACCTTTCCTCCTCCTCCTCCTCCTCCTCCTCCTCCTCCTCCTCCTCCTCCTCCTCCTCCTCCTCCTCCTCCTCCTCCTCCTCCTCGTCCGACGTCGCCCCTGCCTCCTGGCTCGTCCCTCTGTGGTGCTCCCCTCGGGTGCTCTCGGCCTTCGCCCCCTTGGGGGGGGGGGAGGGCCGGGCCTCCGCCGACCACGCCACCAGGTACGCGAAGAGCAGCGTCTCGCACAGCCCAGCCCAGGCCGAGAAGGCGAAGCCGGCGTTCTCGGCGACCCCGTAGCCCTGCGGAGTTGAGCACAGCAGGGGCACAGCAGAAGAGCCAGCATCTTGCCGCAGTGCACACCGGAGCGCACGCATTCGTCGAGTGTGACTCGCGCCTCCCAGGGTGGCCCCAGGCTTTCTGTGAGCCCCCGGGGCCGCTTGGGGATGCCAAACATCCGCGAGGCACCTGCTGGAAGGCTCACTGAACTTCGCGATGCCAGGAAGGCGGAGCAGGAGGATGGACGAGGAGGAGGCTGAGGGACGAAGGAAGGAGGGAGGAACGGAGGGAGAGAGGGGGGAACGGTCGACCAGGAGGAGATACCATCTTGGGGTCTTCAATGGCCCTCCTCCCGCCGCTCTCCTCCTCCTCCTCCTCCTCCTCCACCTCCTCCTCCTCCTCCTCCTCCTCCTCCTCCTTCTCCTCCTCCTCCTCCTCCTCCTCCTCCTCCTCCTCCTCCTCCTCCTCCTCCTCCTCCCTCCTCCTCCTCCTCCTAGTTCTCGCTCTTCCTCTTCCTCCTCCTCCTCCTCCTATCCTCTTCCTCGCTCCTCCTCCTCATCCTCCTCCTCCTCCTCCACCCTCTGGGGCCCCCCGGACCTGGCAAGCACAGCAGGCCTCGTCTCGAGGGGGCAAATTCCTGGGGGTCTGGGGTGTTCGGGATTCCTGGTCGCCTTGACTGCGAACTCCCGGGGCCCTTAGGATCTCAAGCGTTGTAAATGCTATAAGAACTTCCTCTCTCGATCACACACACACACTTTTTGGCGAACTCCGCTCCAGCGAGAAGCTAGATAGGGGCACCAGCTAGCGAATTGGCCGGCGAGCAAAAAGGGGGGGGACGGCCGAGAGGAAGAAGGGACGCTCAGACGCCAAAGAGTTCGACGATGAGCAGCCGGGGGGGGCAGCAGCAGCCAGGCGCGCAGGGCCAGAGCGCGGTAGGCGGCCGTGGCGAACCACGGTGGCAAGGGTGGCGGGGAGCGGCAGCCAGCGGCTGGGGCTGGCGGGGGGCACAGTGGGACACCGCGAACGACGTACCACGGCGCACCGAGTAGAAGGCACAGCACTGAGCTGTGCGGGGACAGTGACGGGGATACTGCGGCGTGACCGCGCACTCACACACACACACATACACACATACACACATACACACACATACTCTCTCACACAGACACACACACACAACTCAACGGCCTCGAACTAATGTTGTGAAATGCTGAGGGGGCCTAGGGTGTTCGGGATTCCTGGCCACGTGGTTTGCGGAACCGACGATCAGGGCGACTTCCCAGCCCCCCCCCCGCCCCCTCGTTCTCCGTTTTCCTCCTCCTCCTCCTCCTTCTCAACCTCCTTATCTTCCTCCTTCTCCTCCTCCGCATCCTTCTCTACCTCCTCCTCACCCTCCTACTTTCCGAAGCTTCCCTGGACCTAAGGGTTCCCGTGGGGTCGTGGAAAAAACATGAGATACTAGGAGCCCTCCAGATAGCCCATGAGGCATGAGAAGGTCGCAGGAAAAAGTATGCCCTCAGAGCACCTGCAACACAATTAAATGTGTTGTGGATGCAAGAGGGGTTTCATTGGGAACCTCTCGGGATCATTTGCAGCCTCTCCCCGCCGAAAAAACATCTCAGAGCGTTAAGATAAAATCGCGATAGCTTCAGGGAGACCCCATTGGGGGCACAAAGAAGGCTTCCCCAGAACACCCGCAACAAACTCGAGTAGATTGCGGGTGCTTTGGGGGTGCTCTTGAGCTCGTCTCGGAGCGTTAAGAGGGCCACGCGATGGCTCCAAAATGGCTCACTAGGGAACTTCAATGAAGCAACATGGCACCCGCATCACAATGAAATATCTTGCGGATGCTCTGTGGACTTTCTTGGGATCCTCCGGGAAGTGCCGTTACGCACCTTGTTGACCCACCCAGTCTTGAGAGGGCTTCGCGAGGGCCTCAATATGTCTCCACTAGGACCGCACGAAGGCTCCCAGAGCGCCCGCGACAGCATCACATGTTTTGTGGCTGATCCGTAGGCGAAGAGCTTCTTAGGGGTCCTCTGGAGGTCCTCGTGGAGCCCTCTTGGGGCTCTTCCCAGGGCGCCCTACAGCCGTGTAGTTCTTGCACACACGTAGACGCCTGAGCATGCGGGCCATCCCAAAACAGAAGCTCTAGTTTGAAGACAAGCCGCCCCATCCGTGAACCCTGGGAGGCTTTTGAGACCAACGTACACGGCGCCAGATCGAACACCGCCTTTGACCTCCCTCCCCATCCATCTTGTAGCTGTTGGAAGTTAGGAAGTCGTGCGTCCGCGGCGCTGAGGCGAGCGCCACCTTCTGAAAAGGAGCCGCCGTCCAGCCGCGAAGCGGTTGGAATAATTGAGATGAGCTCGTGCGGCGCTGCGGCGAGAGCCACATTCTGAGAACAACCCTAACTTCAAAAAAGTTCAAAGCGAATGTGCACAGCATTGAGGCGAGAGTCACAAGTTCACCTCACCCCCCCTCGTCAGCAGAACTTCTAGAAGCGCGAGACGACTGCACGCGTCGCTAAGGCGAGAACAACATGTCTGCAAACCGCCCCACACCATGACGGGGAGGAAGCCTCAGGCGAAGCGCCCGGCCCGCTCCACAGACGCTTCTGGTCCCTCTCCTGCCCTGCCACCTCCTGGTCCTGCCCCTGCTCCTGCTCCCCCCCTCCTGGGGAAGGTCCCATTCCCTGTCTGGGCGCTCCTCCAGGCTCAGCACCCGCGGCGCCAGGGGAGCGCCTGTCCATGTCGCCGGAGCCTCTTGGGACACCCTTCGTCACACCCGCACCAGTCCATCCCCACCCGCACGGGGAACGGGGGGGGGGAGGGGAAGGGAGAGGAAGGAGGGGGAGAGGGAGACAGAGAGAGAGGAGGGACGCGTATCTCCGCATTCCCGCGCCAATTCACGTGTGACCGGCTGGAGCGGGAAGGACAAGGGGGGTGATACCGATACCGATCGTGCTGGTGGATGTTTGGTCAGCTTAGCCGTGCCACTTGAACGAAACTTAACGGATCATTCGAACTTCGAGGGGCCCCCGAAAGGAACCAAACGCTTTGCATCGCCAGCGCGCTCGGCAAGGGGCCGCCCTGCCCTCGCAGCTGGCACCCCGACGGGGCACCGCTGGGGCCTCTCGCTCCCTCGGCCTGGACCCTCGGAGCTTGCCAGCAGCTGTGGCATCCGACCCAAATTCATCAAAGCCTGGAGCCGAACACTCTGGATGGTCGAGGGAAGCCCCTGGCTGAATTCATTAAAGCCTGGGGCCTGGAGCTGGATTCATTAAAGCCTGGGGCTGGGCTGGTCGAGGGAAGGCCCTGTTGAGCCAGGAGAGCGGGTTCAGGTGTGGCCGACCCGCCGCGGGCGCTTCGGCTCACTGAGCCCGCCGTGCCCGCCCGAGCTCCAGATCCTACATCGCGGCTGCGTCTCCTCCCCCTCCCCGCAGACCTCCGCCCACCATCCCCCTCCCTCGGAAACTCTCTCGACAATCGAATTCGAGAGCGAATCGAACAGGCGCGACACATCTCTCTCCAGATGGCCGCGGCGGGCGGCTCCCACCTTCCTCACCCCGCCGAGCTGGTTCACTGCAATCTGGAAGTAAAGAGCCTGGAACTTCATCATGTCTGCACTCCTCTCTCCACTCACGTCGAAGGCTGGCGCAGGCGACCTTTCGGCAACGGACCCGCGGGGCCGTTGTTCTGCTTCCTCTGGGAATGCGGCGCCAGGGTCCCGATCTCTTTCGGCGAGAGGCCCACTATAACTTTCTCCCAGAACTCTATCGCGGCTCCGATGGCTTCTGCTGGCCGCGATCCCTGCTCGGCGCACCGCATCAGGAACGCGCCATAGCTGTGCACGTGCGGCGGGCCCCCGGCCTCGACATCTGCGGCCTCTTCGTCTGCTTTGGCCCTTTTTTGGCGCTTCCGGCTCTCGCCGTTGCAGCCCTTGCCCGCGCCCGCGAGCGCGGCCCCGAGCCCCTTCTCCCCGCCGTTGACCTCCACCTCGTTCGTCGCCTACACCGCGCCGCACAGCCCTGCGATCACCCTGCTGCTGATGAGGACCAGTCGTGTGAGAAGCTTGGCGAGCTCTTTCAACGAGCGCCGACTCGCCTCCCTTGGCCACCACCTGCTTGGCCTCCTTCTTTGCGCGCTCTGACTCGTCGGCAGCCGAGGGCGAGGCCGCCCTCTTCAACCGCGAGGGGGACTCGAGACCAGGCATGGCGCTCAACTTGGGCGGCCACTGGGAGGACCTCACCAGGTAGATGCTTGAGCATACGGGCGTGGGGGGGAGCAGCATTGTCCGCCGTCTCGGCGCAAAGAGGGCAGACGACAGATGCGGGTTCACGAAGCGGGCGGGATGTCGCGTTACCTTTCGTCGGGCGAGCTCTTTTCACGAGGCCGATCGACGCGTGTCTGGATGCCGTGATACGCGTTTGAAAGATGCTACAACATGCAACGCGCTGGTTCGCGCGCGTGAAGATGCGCGCCAATGAGCGCACGCGGCGAGAGGCGCGCTTATGATTTGGCAGCTGCGCCCTCGAAGCCCAACGCACGCCGCAGGGTCCACCGCCTTCCTCCCCCACCAGCGCGCATGCCCAGGAGCCGACAGATCCGGGAGCTTCTGGGGGGGCTGAACGCGCAAGGCTCGCCCTCGGATCTCGGCGACGGCGATTCGCGTGAGAACTGCCGCCACCGCCCGCCCCGCCAGCCTCGCCGGTTTGTCGGCCAACAACGGAAGCACAGACGGGTAGCCGATCAACTCGCAGGCCCGGAAGAAGTGGCCCTGCATGCTCTTAGCCCACGGAGAAGCGCGTTCTGCGAGGGCCCCGATCGAGGCGCTAGGGGGCAGCAACAGCGTCACGCACTCTATGTTGCCAAAGAGGGCCGCGAGTTCCTGAACGCGCGCATCTGGCCTCCTCGCCCACCCCGGGCACCATTGAAGACGACGAGCGAGGAGAATTTCGCAACGGGTCGGGCCAAATTCCAGCGCCTCGAGATCTCGGAAGTGCTCCACGAACTGACATGATCGAGCCTCTCGGACTTCGCTGCGCCCTTCAAGGCCCCACCCCCCGAAGTACGCCAACTGATTACTGATCTGCTGCATCTGGGACTTAGTCACAAGCAAGGCCCCGAGACCGCTTAGGAAGGCGTTCTGGCCCAGGCTTACCTGGAGGCACCCCTTGAATCCCACCAGCCCTCTGGGCGTAGGTGGTCTAGAGCAGATCCTCTTCCACCCCTCCCTCTTCCCCCTTGGGGAGGGGTTTACCCCTCCCCCTACCCCCTCCCCTGGACCTGGACGGGGGGGGCCGCGGGTAGTTAGAGCGTCCAAGATGGCCCAAGACGGCTCCAAGAGCGCCTCAGAGAACCCAAGATGAGCTCCAAGATGGCTCAAGATAGCGCAAGATCGCTCACGATGGCTCCTAAGATGGTTCCAAGAAGCCCAAAGACGGCCCCAAGATAACTCCAAGTGGCCAAACAGCTCCCCAAGGAGGCCCCGAAGAGGCCAAAATCGTCCCAAAACCTAAGGAAAATCAATGATTTTTGCTTTCTCGCCTTTTCGCTTCCGATGGCCATCCGAGGCCTGGAGATGGCTCCAAGATGGCCCAAGAGGGCCCCAAGAGAGCCCCAAAAGAGCCCCAAGACGGCCCCAAGAGCGCCCAAGAGCACTCCAAGAGCGTTCCAAGAGGGGTCCAAGAGGCGATTTTAGGGGCTTCCGAGGGGGGGCGCTAATTCACCCCCCCCTCTTGTTTGATCGACTCCCTCCAAGATGGCCCCAAGAAGCGCCCAGGAAGCCCCAAGAGGTCCCAAGATGGCCCCAAAATGGCCCCAAGAGGCCCCCAAGAGGCCCCCCGGAGGCCCCCAAGAGACCCCCAAGAGGCCCCAAGAGCCCCCCCAGATGCACCCAAGATGCTCCAAGAGGCCTCGGCGAGAATGCCTAATCATTGATTCTACACAGGTTTTAGCCACATGGAGGCCTCTTGGGGGGGGGCACGGATTAAGATGACTCCAAGAGCGTCTGGGAGAGCCCAAAATGACCTCCAAGATGGCTCAAGATATCCCAAGATGTCTCATAATGGCTTCCTCTGTGTGCTGCCCACTTCTCTGATCGAGGCAATTCCTCTGAGCATCGTTTCTGGATGGGCTGGTGGGGATTCGCGAAGCGACAACAATTTCAATGGAATAAGCAACTGCCACCCCCACCCCCACCCCCACCCCACCCCTAGCTCCAGAAGGCAGTGTTCGCAGCAAACACCCTTAGACTCCAGGCCCACCCCAATACACCCATCCAGAGAAGCCCGAAGCCCAAGGTATCTGGTTCCCTGCTGCAGGGTGCCTCCGAGGACACGTGGGAGATTTGTCGTAAGCCACCTCTTGCAAACAGATGCCTGCGGCCCGCGCGCGGACGCCGTGAACTCCTGCCTCGAGGCGCCCTGAACGTACCCGACGGCCGCCAGCGCATTGTTGAGCTCGCGGTTGGACTCGGACAGCCGCTGAATGAAGGAAGACGGCCACATCGATCTTCCACCAAATCATCTGCAAATGTCCAAAGAGCCAAATCCACGACTCCTCCAGTCAAACAGCAAGTCAGCGAAGTACTGGAGTCGTGGCGTTCCGAAACGCACCCACAAATAATATGACTGTGAAGGGGTCGCCCATCAACCCTGATTCTCCCGTCTTCACCAAGAGCTACCGATCCGAACTCGGGAGACAGATGGTCGCCTCTGCAAATCTCTGAACTGCAAAACTGATGACCCCCCAGCGGCCGCACCTCTCCGCCGTCTCAGCTAAGACCCCCTCATCTGCACACGCAACCGCATTCGACAAGACCTTCAAGCTAGCCATACACGATATGTCATTCTGCGCCAATCGCCAACTCGCAACCTGCACCCCCAATCATCGCATCTTCACGACGTCGTGATCGAACGGGCCCACTGGTACACGAAAACCACCCGCGAAGTACATTTTGCCGAGCGTCGGGAAGACATGCACAACTCTCTTGCCGGGTGGGCCTGGCTTGCTCGACTTACGTAATGCACACTGCCATTCATTCCGTCGAATATTTCTGAAGCAACCTGTCACGCAATCCAAGACAATCTGCGCATCAGGAGTCCGCGAAACACATCCCAATCCACGCCTGTGGGCCGGCGCCACATGCCGTAAAGAATGGAAGCGCATGAACAACAACTCTGCTGGTGATGCTCCCTCTCGACATGCGCGACTTCGAGGAACCTTCCGCGATCGAAACGCCATTCGCTCTACATCCCCATCCGCCAAGCACTCGTGGATCCTCGTCAACGGGGCCGTGACCTGGTTGAGCTGCCGCAGAAACAGGTCATCCCAAGATACCTCCACGGTGCTCATACGGCCCCAGGCTTCACCCAATGTTCGTTCCACTCATGCGCAATTGGAGCCGCACCTGAGAATAGTCTGGAGTCTCGTTTTTGTGGTTTGAATATGCATATGGCTGCTTGTCTGCTCAATCGCATCGCCACCGCGATCTGTCGACGCCCCCAAGCCTCGTTGACTTCATCCTCCAACAGTTTATGGCGTTCATGCGTGACCTTGTGGCGCTCCATCTTCAACATGCGACTAACTGCCTTCTGCTCTCACTAAGATCAACTGGCGAAGCCGAGTGCGTTCAGCGAGAAGCTCTCGTCGTCGTGCAGCCGTCGTGCAGCTTGCTCCTGAGAGTCACTCGACACTGGGCTACGTTCATAAAACTGCTTCCCACAATACAATAAGACTTGCTCCATATTGTTAAGCTGTGTCGGCATTCGATTCGGCCACGTAAACGATCCATTCATTATCCGTCGCCTCGAGTTTGTCATGTACATCTTGTGAAACCCATCATGCAATACCCAATTGCGAACCGCATTCGTCAAGCTATCACGGTCCCATCTCAACTTATCTTGCACCTCCTGCTTCTGCCTATTCTTTTCCAATTTCAGCGAGAGAAATGTAGGGAGATGGTCTTAGGGCCCCTGTCCTCGTACGGCTTGTAGAACACTTCCCATATCGATGCAGTGGGTGGCACTTGGCGATTGTTTCCTGCACTCCTTTCGCCACGAAACAAAATCGATCAAGCTACATGTCTGCGTCCCGTACAATGTGAACTCATGCTCGCCCAGTGTATTCGCCTCCACGAGGTGGTGGCGATCAAAAAGCTCTCGAAGTAGCTCTCCTGCGCCCCGACGTCGTGCCTCTTGGGTTCGCACGGGTCCAACTGCTTCTGCCAGTGCTCTGTGCCACCCACCTTTGTCCTGAGTAAGGCCTATACCATCGTTGGCATCAACAAAAATAATCGGCTGGCATCTCTGTGGGATTTCGCGGATGGCATTGCACATCCAATATTTCAACACTCGGATCGTCCGCAAATACAGTGCAATCTCTCCGCGCCCACGAGGCTGGGGAGAAAAATATACTGCCATGGCCAGAACATGTACACCGTGCCTTGCTTCAGTCGAACAGCGATCGATCTTCCACCTGCCCCCGCTGGACTCGGCCACGAACGGATGACATCTGCTTGATGATACTGCGCTCCCCGGGCAATCAAGCAACCGGTACTACGATTCGTGAACCAGCCAGGCACGAACCGCATTCTAGTGTGACCCTCCCCTACACATTTCCCACCAACGCATTCTCCAATTCCCTGCGGCATGCCGTGGTGCCCATCAGCGCCACGATTTTGTTCCCCCGCGTGTTCAGCATGATTTCCTCCAGGCGGGAGCCGCCCGCCCATATCGGATTCCGACCCACTGCTCGTAACATCCCTGGCCGCTAGCTATGACTATGGGGTGAGAGTATGACAAGGCTGCTCTGCTATGGAATCTCAAACCCAGATGGCAGCTGGGGGGGCGGGGAATGAGGACAGACGAAGGGAGGGGGAAGGGAAGGGAGGAGAGGAGAATAGGGTTGGAAAGGGGAGGAAAAGGAGGAAGGGGAAGAGGGAGGAGGGGGGAGAGGGGGAGAGGGGATTGAGGGAGAAAGGAAAAGGTGGAAGGGTGACTCTAATTGGTGGGTGCGGCAAGGACCCCGTGAGCCTCGCCCCACGCCGACTGCCAGAAGGGGATGCCGTGCACGACGGCGTCAACCATGATCCTGGCACCCGACGCAGCAGCAGGAGGAGGAGCAGCACCTGGCCATCGCTTGGACGTCCATTCCCTGTGTTTTTGTTTCGCTTTTGTGCGTGGCTTGTTTAGCCAAATGATCAAGGATGCTCCTCGATGGTCCTCGCCGAGGAAAAATGCACACGTCCGAGCGATGCCAAGGCATTGAGACGGGGGAGGTCACGGCGGGAGGCAGCAGGAGGCGGCGGAACCTGGCACACATGCAGGCCGGCACCGTCACGAGCAGGGTGAAGCGCTGCGCCAGCGGCGTCAGCGCCACCCCCAGACTCGTCACCGCCCACCTGCGGCTGCACACGCGAGGAGTGAGACCCCTACAGTCGGGGCGTTGAGCTAAGGAACCTTAAGTAAGGAACGTGGCCCCATTTTTTCGAGAAGTTGAACTTCGATTTCCCATCAAAAAAAACATAAGGAAAGCCTGAGGCAAGCTGCGAAACACTTGAGGAACGCGGAGCCCCTCCCCAACCAAAAGGGTTCCTTCTTCAGGGCCCCGACTGTAGGCGAGAGGGACCTCTGGTGCGCGGACTCCGGGGGGGCGCAGGGTGGCCAAATCCAGGCGCGCAGGCAGCCGCGAAGAGGCCTCGCGCTCCGCGACATCGGGGGGGGGGGGACCCCGACGAGCCCGCACCGGAGGGGCGCTCCCGCGAAGGGCCCCCCTCGGCACGCGCCGCCGGCGCCTGCGGTGCGCCTGGAAGTCGCGGCGGAGGGCCGCCTGGTACACCGCCATGCCCGTCGAGGCCAGCCACGCCAGCGACGCGAGGTCGATGAAGGCCCCCATGGCTCGGCTCGGGCCGTCGCCCCGCCGGGCGAAGCCGCCGCTCCGCGCGCGCAGCGGCTGCAGCGTGGCCACCATGAGCAGGCCGCAGAGGACGTAGAGCCGGCCCGTCCAGCGGTGCACGCGCGGCCTCGACGAGCGCAGGGACTTGTCGAACTGCAGGAAGCCGCAGACCAGCGTCGCGATGCCGAAGGCGACGTGGCCGAGGATCGCCAGCGCGGACCGCCGCGAGCTCGCCCAGTGCGGCCCGGAGCCGAAGACCGGCGAGACCACGGGCACGTACCGGGTCCAGCCCGGCACGAAGAAGATGCGCATCGAGAACAGAGCGAACCAGAGCCCCACCGCGACGGCAGAGGCCGCCGCTGTCTGTGCGATGCTCCGCGCGGATCGACGGACGCTCTGCGCGATGCGCGTCGACGTGCTCGGCGCCATGCCGCCGGGCTCCAGGCGGATGGCCTGGCTTCGGCTGCGAGCAGCCTTTGTCTCGCCATGGCTTGATCCAGAACTGCTCCAACCGGTGATCGTGCCGCCGACGACGAAAATGACGACGACGACGACGACGACGACTGATGCTTTCATCTAGGAGGTGGCTGTGTTGGAGAAGATTGGCAGAACTGGGCCAAGCTCGTATGGGGCACCATATTGGGGCAGACAAGCTGTGCGTATGAAGGCCGGGCTCATGTCAGCAGAGCTGTGCTCACTTAGGCCAGAATGCGCTACGCGTTTAAGGCTGAAGCAGAAGTACAGCCCAAGTATCAAGTAGGCCACACCGACGCACTCCGAGGCGAGCAGGCCCTGGGTGGGCGGAGCTGGTATCACGCCAGCCCACTAGACGTAGGTTTGAAGTCCGCGGGCGAACAGTGGCCCAAGAGAGTCAGACACCGGTCAGCAAGCGGTGGGGCGCACCAGAAGCGAATTGAGGCACGAAGGCGACGCGGAAGAGAGCGCGAGGAGAAGAGGGAAGAGCCCGCTCAGATCCGGCGCGGGGAGACCGCAGTGAACGCCGGGCGCAGGTGCTTCGACGAAGCCTCTCTCACGCCCCCCTGCTTTCCGGCCGGTGCCCCTCCCCTGGCCGGTCCTCCCCTGGAGCCCAGGAGGGGGGCGCCGTGACCCATTGAGAGTGTCCACGCTGGCCTTGGCTGGCGTCACGATGGCCTCCCCAGGTGGGGGGGCGGCGAGACCGGGGGCGAAGTGAGAAGGGGCGGGCCTTCTCAGAGGCCTCGGGAGTCCCCCGGCCTGCCGAGAAGTTTCCTGAGCCGTCCCCGAAGGCACCGAACACCTCCCAGAAGGCGCCAGGGCTTCTGAGAAATCCCGCCGCCTTCTGAGCAGGCCCTTGTTCTTCTCACCTCCCTCCCTCGCTCGCCGCCGAAGGTACAGTCGGGGCGTTGACCTAAGGAACGATGAATAAGGAACGAGGCCCCTTCGTTCCTCAAGTTTAACATCGGTTCCAATTCGAACACCGAAGGTCAAGCTGAGGCAAACGGTCAAACGACCAAGGAACACGGAGCCCCTCCCAAACGAAAAAGGTTCCTTCTTCAGCGCCCCGACTGTAGGGGACCGCAAGCGAACCCTACCCTACCCCTACACCCCCCACGATTTCTGAGGGGGAGGGTGGGGTTCACGTCGCCTGGGAGCTCCCGAACGAAGTGAGCCCCACCCTCCCCCTCAGAGATCGTGGGGGGTAGGGGTAGGGTTCGAGATGTAGCCCCCACCCCACCCCCCGACTGTAGCCCAAATACGGCCTCCAAGGTAGCGCTGCATGGTCCAACGTCATGCGGGATGGCCTCCAGCAAGGGCCCCCAGAGGCGCCCGGGTCGCCACAGAGCGGCTCCGTGTGGCCACGGGGAGCGAGGGTGCACGCGTGGCCCTTGATTTTTTGTTATTATTATATATATATATAATAAGAAAGAAAGAAAGAAAGAAAGAAAGAAAGAAAGAAAGAAAGAAAGAAAGAAAGAAAGAAAGAAAGAAAGAAAGAAAGGAGAAAAAAAAGGGTGCACGCGTGGCCCTCGGTGATTGGGGCCGCTTCGCCGTTGCGCGTCCGATGGACCCTCGAGAGCTCGAAGCGGCCCACAGCCCCGAGGGGGGCCTACCACGCCCCCAGGATGGACCCCAAAGGCCATCTTGAGTGCTCAGAGCGAGCCCCAAGACATCGCCGAACGGCGGTTGGAGCAAGTGGGCTGATGGCCGACGGCCGGAGGGCCCCAAGTGCCTCCAAGAGAGCATCATGACTGCGCCAAAAGAGCACCGACAAGCTTCCAACAAAGCCCCGCTGTTGCCCTGATCGATCTTCAAGAAGGAAGCCTCCAATAAGTCGGTAAGTTCGCCTGCGAAGCGATGCTGTATGGGCTGCTAAGGATACGCACAGCGTCTCATTAGTAACTCCAAAATGCATGCCAACATACCAACACTGCCAACACGTGTATACAACGGTTCAGCAGGTCAGACGGGCTTTAGCACCTGAAATTGAACAGTTGAAATCGAACACTCTCCAGAAACGAATTGTAGTTCCAGCCAGCACGGGGTACACCCGAAGACGTGCCGAACTAATTGAGTGACCTACGCTGACGCTGATTTCAGCTGGTTCTTGGGACAGCGGCGATAGGCACGGTCACATGCGGTCGGGCACCAACAGGGAGCGCACAGCTCAGGCTCATCCTAGCACAGAGGTGAGAAGTAGGTCCATCAAGACAGCATACCCTCGGCTGCCGAAGCTCGTGGTTGATGTAGATCGGCGACTCAGGAGCAACTCGCACAGGGAAACGGTTCTACAGTCTTGGGGAGGCCGTTCAAAAAAGCTACATGACGACGACGCCCACGAACAAGCCTGGACCCCCATTGATGTCTCACTCCGTCTACCCCGTGCCCCTCTCCCCTTCAGCAGTCCCCCCTCTCTCCGCCCCTCCCCTCCCCCGACTTCTTCCCCTGCTCCCGTCCGCCCTCCCCCCGCTCCCCTCGTCCCCCCTCCCTCTACCACTCGGCCGCGCCCTGGGGCCCCTTGACATGCGGTGCGCGGGGGCGGGCCCCCTGGCCCTCCAAGTGCAGGGTGCACCAGCCCCCCCCCCCTAGTTTCCTCGCTATCGTGCTCCTGCTCCAGCTCCTGCTCCTGCTCATCCTCCTCCGTTTCCCTCCCCACCCCTGCTCCTCAGAAATAGCTCCTCCCTGTCGCACTCCCAGACGTGTCCGTAGGGCGGGGCACCACTTATGGCCCTGAAGCCTTGAAGCTTGACATCTCACCACCTCTTATGGCCCTGAAGCTTCGCCTGAGCCGTCCTCACCACGTATGGCCCTGAAGCTTGAAATCTGCAGCAGCCTCAAGCATGGAGGGCGGCTCATGTTCAAACTGTGGATATTGCCTCAACGCCGCGCACACTCGAACTAAGCAATTGCAAACGCTTCAAGGAGGGAGAGCGGTTCCTGCTCAACATGTGGCTCTCGCCTAACCCCTGCGCGCAGTCGCTTGAACTGCCTGCATCGGTGTCGCTGGCTCGCACGGTCGACGTCTCAGGAAGGGTCCTCTGCCACGCTGGAGGACTGGCAGGACGCAACAGTCACGTTGATTCGCAGCGATGGAGTCCAAGAAATGGCGTTGTGGCACGATTGGAGATTCTCAAGCAATTGCCTTCCACTGGGGCAATTCCCACAATGAAGGTAAATACTTGCAGGGGCCCATGAAAAGGGAACTTGGAGGGAATATGTAATGCAACACGTTTGACGCGTCTTGGGCTTCCATTGGTCCTCCTCCTCCTTCCTCCTCCTGCTCCTCCTCCTCCTCAATCGCTTCGCCTTCTAGCTAACCCCCTCCCTGTCACACCTGGAGGCGTGTCGGCATGGCTTCGCCTGGGACTCCCTCACCGCTCATGGTCCTCACGCGTGCAAGTAGCAACAGCTGCACGGATGGAAGGCGGGTCGCTTTCAGAACGTGGCTCTCGCCTCCTCCCACTCCCCCTCCCCCTCCCCCTCCCCCTCCTCCTCCTCCTCCTCCTCCTCCTCCTCCTCGTCCTCCTCCTCCTCCTCCTCCTCCTCCTCCTCCTCCTCCTCCTCCTCCTCCTCCTCCTCCCCCCTCCTCCTCCTCCTCCTCCTCCTCCTCCCCCATCCTCCTCCTCCTCCTCCTCCTCCTCCTCCTCCTCCCCCATCCTCCTCCTCCCCAAAAGCTTCGAGGGTGGAGGGCGGCCCCTGTTCAACGTAGGGTTCTCGCCGCAGCGCCGCGCACATTCGGCTTGGAAGTTGCCAAACGAGGTGCCGATTGAAGGCGGTCCGCGTTCAGGCTGTGGTTCTCGCCTTGGCAGCCGCGCGCACTCGTCTTTATTGAGGCCAGGCAGTACCTTTTTCAAAGTGTGAGCATCGCCTGAGCGCCGCGCACATGCGTCTCGAGAGTTCGAAACAGCTGCAGGGATTCGCATTGCTAACGTACCATAGAAGGCGCTTTGGAATGATGTAGGACTATCAACGCGCAACAAGTACGTTGATGTGCGGTGCTGAAGTCCCAAGAACGGTGTTCTGGCACGATTCAGGGTCGTCAAGACGGAACAAGTCGGGGTTGATTCGGGGCGTTGGAGTCCAAGGAATGTTGCTCTGGCACGTTTCAAGTTTTTCAAATGGTTCCTTTCCAGCGGGGTAATTCCCTCAGTGGAAATGAATCCGTGTAGGGGCCTGTGATAAGGGAGCTTGGCGGGAGGGTTGACTGCAACGTCGTTGATAAGTCATGGGTGTACACTGGTCCTCCTCCTTCTCCTCCTCCTCTTCCACCTCCTCCTCCTCCTCCTCCTACTCCTCCTCCGTCTCGTCCTCTCCGTCCCCCCACCCCTTCATCACCGTCGTCATCGACTGCCTCCGCCTATGCCTGGCATCCCACTCCTCCGCCGCGTTAGCGCCATCCCCGCGTCCCTCCGTGACCACCTCCAGCCTCCTCGTCATCCGTATCCTTCTCCTCATCATCAACCCTCCCGTGCCAGGCCGCTCGACGGGCGACCCGGGAAACTCTTACGTACAGACGGCACGAGCCTCTGTGGCGACGCCGCGATGGAAATGTTTTTTTCCGGGATGCCCCCCAAAACCTTTCTCTCGGGAGGCGCGATGGGGAGCCCCGCTTCCCCCATGGCGCCGTGTCAGGAGGGTGCTCCTCCTCCTCCTCCTCCTCCTCCTCCTCCTCCTCCTCCTCCTCCTCCTCCTCCTCCTCCTCCTCCTCCTCCTCCTCCCGACCAGGAGCCTCACTGCCTCGCGCGCCAGGGGCTCCAAAGGGGAGATTTGGACTCGGGATTCGCGCCCCTGGTTCGGGATCCGCCCGCGCCTCCCCCTGCGAACGGTGCCAGGCGGGGCTGACCTGACCGGAGGGCGCGGCCTCACGCCCTCGCGCGCCAGAGAGGGGGACCCGAGAGGGCGAGTTTCGGCGAGGGCCGCCCCCGGCGACACCGACGTGCGGGAGTCGTCCGGGCTCGCCCCTGGCAGCGGTACCAGGAGCTGGCGGCCCTGGCGAATCGGAAGAGGTCAAATGCACGGAGCACATTTGACCCTGGGGCACCAGCCCCGGGGGGGGGGGCAACCCGCCCGCAGCATCAGGAGCGCACGATCAGGGGCCTCACTCCAACGCGCGCCAGGTGTGCGGATGGCGTGAGCTCCGCGGAGGCACCCTCGAGTCATCACTCCTTATCCTACGCTTCATCCTCCCCCTTACCATCGTCGACAACGTCCGCTTAGCTCTTCCTCCCCCTCCTCTTCCTCCTCCTCCTCCTCCTCCTCCTCCTCCTCCTCCTCCTCCTCCTCCTCCTCCGTCGCTTCCTCCTCCTCCTTCTCCTCGTCCTCCCCCTCCTCTTCCTCAAACTCCCCACCCTCTCCTGATAACCCACTTCCTCAAAATCCCCATCCGCCGTCTGCTCCGTCTCCCCTCGACCTTCTCACTCAGCTTCCCTCCGACCACCATGCCGCGTGCACATGGCGGGCTGGACAGTGGACGGCGCCCCGGGGGACGCAACACGAAACGTCGACGTGCCCACCTCCCAGCCACCTCACGTTTCTCCCACCCGGGTCCAGGAGGGGGGGGATGCGGAGGCGGGACCACGAGGAAGCGAAGGACAACTCCTGACTGCGCCTTGGATTGCAGCACGTGTCCGCGGCCGCATGTAACCACCTGCGGTCGGACATCGCGTGCACCCTCGAGCGGCCAGGCTCTGCGGGGCACAAGGCCCCCTCCCCCTCCCCGTCACTCCATCCGTCACCCCATCCCTTATCACCTTCCCACCCTGTGTTTGGCTCCACTCCCATGTCCCTCTCTGTCCTTGCTTTCTGTATAGCTCCCTCGCTCCGCCCCAGCGTCCTCCGCCCTTGTCGTAGCGCTTCTGGAACTCGAAGAAAGAAAGCCCGATGAGCATGGTGGACTCGTTGGCGGCGATCTCCATGATGCGGTGCAGATCCGTGCGCTGCCCACACCCCCAGCCAGGCACAGGAGGACGAGGAGGAGGACGAGAACAACAACGACGACGAGGAGGGGGAGCAGGAGTAGAAGAAACACATGAGCGCGGATAAGGAATATGCAAAGCCGCCAAGACGATACACAATTGTCCGAAGAGCGACCCGACAGCGCCGCCCATGGCGAACCGGATGGTCGCAACACGTGGCACCCAAAATTCCGCGCCATGCAGGGCGCGCCAAACATATGGCCGCAACCCATGGCGCGACCCATGGCCGCAACCCAACCACTACCCTCTCGCAAAGCCCAGCTGAGGGCACCGACTACCCCGAAAACCACGAATCCACGCATCCAATCCGCGCTTCCAGGATGCCACCAGGACGCCTCAAAATAGCTCCCACCTCAAGACGGCCGAAGAGGCCCAGGAGACGGCCCAAGAGATGCACAAGAGGGCCCTGCAGCCCGCAGCCCAGGCCAGAGAGGCCCCCCAAAAAAGCGATGTCCCACTATCCCCTAACAGTGCTTGCACGTGTAGGGGTTGGTATTTCTGTTCGAAAGAACTGTGGCGGTCAGGCAGCCATGTTGCCGCCGTCGCTCCCCCGTCGTCGTCTCGTCGCCGCCCGTCGCCTGGGCCGGTGTGGCGGTCGGGCGGCGGTCGTCGCCGTCGCCGCCCCGTCGCCGACTCGCCGCCGCCACACAAGGTATTGCACCACACATGCTGTGCAACACAGATTCTCCTTTCTGAAAAGAAATTAGATTCTACCCCACCACCCCCCTGGAGTCAACTCGGCCTCGCGCATTAAAAATTACATGTGATTCTGCACCATCGCCCACGCTAAATATGAACTCGTACCATCCCAACCGAGCCGGTATCCCCTCCCCCCCCCGCCATCCCCCGCAAAAAAAACACGTTGCGCGCGCACTCGTTTATCAAGAATCAAAAGTATCCAAAAGCCCCTCGCAAAGCATGTGACGAAATGCGTACGCGCGCGTCGTCGCGCGCTCATGCCGACATCTTTCAAACACCTGTTCTGGTTTCGTAAGGATTTCAAAATCGAGGGTCGAGAAAACAGTTGTTCTTATATAGAAAAAGTTTCGCAACAAGGTTTTCACAACAAAATTGCGCGCGTGTTTTTGCGAACTCGCTGTTCCTGGGGAAAAGAGTGTTTCCTCATGTCTCAAATTGCAACCCAACGAACTGCGCGCGCATGTCGAAATCGTTCGAACGCTCTTGCGCGCGCGCGCGTTGTCGCTGGAGCCTTTTGTAACAAATCCGACGAAATGCACGCGCGCGCGTCGTCGCGCGCACACGCCAGAATCCTTCAAGAGCCTCCAGTTGCGTAGCGATTTCAAAACCGAATATCCCGAAACCTCTACAAACAAACGCCTGGTTTGGCAACATCCGTTCTCATATACATATATATATGTGTATTTTTAAACAGAAAAACGTGCGCTCGCGCTCTGGCGAATCCGTTAAAACACACATTGTTATATATACATAGATATACACATAAACCTATATACATATACATGCATACATATGTATACATACATACAGACATATACACATATATATATATATGTAAAAATATATACATACATATATATGTATATATGTATATATGTATAAATGTATATATATACATATCCGTAAAATGTTCACTGTACTCAGCAATACTACGGGCATCTCGTGCCGCATGCCAAAATCATTCGAACGCCCTTGCGCGCGCGCTGGGGGGGGGCACGATCTGTGTCAAATAATACCATGCGGCCGCTTTCGTGTGCCGACCGCGCGCGAATGTCGAACTCTTTCCAAAAACTTCATCACCGACGCGGGGACGCCTGTATCGTCGCCGGCGCGATTAGCATTGTCGCCGTCACTGGCCGTGCCGTCGTCGCTGTTAGCAGCATCGTCCAGCACCGCTACTATCATCATCGCGTCTACCGTTGTCGGCGCTACCGTGATACAGCGCCCGCCCAAGCCGCCGACTCGCACTGAAGTGCCCGCTGGGATCTGCCCAGCGGTCAGTGCCACCGCGGCCGCGTCGGTCGCGCCAAACTAGCTGGCCGCTGCGCGCATGTGCATGTGCGGGCTAGCGCGGCCGCAGAGATGCACCAGCCAACGCTTAGCACTTCTCGCAGTCGCCGCCGCATGGGTTTTGCAAACCAACTTGCGGGTGGGTGGGTGGAACGTTTGTCAGAAGAGCCTGTAATGTGTCAAATAGTTCGTACAAACCAATTGCTCCACCTAGATCCTCATTTCAAAAGAGCTAATAGATCATACCCCTCCCCCCGGGACTATCGGTACCCCTTTTTCGTATTGCAATTTACATATGATCTTGCCCATATCGCCCATCCAAAATATGAACTCATACCATCGCAGCCGAGCCACTATCCCCCGCACCGCCATCCTTTGGACAAAAACTACTATGCGCGCGCAGTCGTCCATCAAAACCAGCACGGTTCAAGAACTCCTGACAAACAGTGATGAATTGCACACGCGCGCGTCGTCGCGCGCATGCCGATTTTGGTATTATATATATATATATATATATATATATATATATATACACACGTATCTACACACATGTATATATGTGTGTATATATATACATATGTGGGAAAACATTCGGTTTCGCACGGGTTTCCAAATCGACCACACACGCTTTCGCAACAAGGGTTTTCAAACCAAACGCGCGCCCGAACTTGTTGCGAATTCGGAAGAGAAACGCACGTATTCAAAATTTCTATAACATGCTACCAAAGATTGGTTTGCACGCGCGTGTCGAAATCGTGTGAACTCCCTTGCGCGCGTGCTGTCGCAAGAGCCCTTTTGCAACAAAGGGGGCGAAGTGCACGCGCGCGTCGTCGCGCGCGCATGCCGAAAACCATCAATAACCATGTGGGTTGTATGAGCTTCAAAACCGAATGTCGCGAAACCAGATCAACAGAAACACATGCCTTCGCAACATCCGTTTCAAAACAAAAAAACCTGCGCCCGCGTTTTTGCGAATTTATAGGGCAACCATGCTGTTTTCTCAACCGTGTCATGGGATGCTGCCAAACAGGCCTCCCGCCCCGCATTCCGAAATCATTCGCACGCCCTTGCACGCGTGGGGGGACAGCACGGTCCGTGTCGAATAATATCATGCGGGCCTCTCTCGCGCGTCGGCCGCGAGTGCATGCCGAACTCCTTCTAAAACCGTCACCACCGACGCGAGGACGCCGTCATCGTCGTCATCGGCGTGATCAGCATCGGCGTCGTCATTGGCCGTGCCGTTGTCGTTGTCAACATCGCCACCGACGCCGCTATTTCCATCATCGTGTCTACCATTGTCGACTTTGCCATGGTACTGAGTTCGCGTCGGCCGCGCAAAGCTAGCTGGCCGCTGCGCGCGCGAGCATGCGCGGGCTAGCGCGGCCGCAGAAACGCACCAGCCAACACCCAGCACTCATCGCAATCGCCGCCGCATGGGTTTTGTAAACCAAGCTGCGGGTGGGTGGGTGGGATGATTGCGCGAGCAGTGGGGTTGACAGCTTCAACTTCAGCAGGGTGAATAGCACCACCTAGATTGCACTACATTGGTTCTCCTTTTCCATAGAAAAAATGACCTTTTTTTCTCCCGGAGCCTGAGTTGACGATCCACGCTCGCGATATGTAATGCGCGTATGACTGACCCATGAACTCGTACCATCCCAGCTTAGCCAGTACTGACCCCCCGCCATCCGTTTCGCAAAAAATAAATATTCGCGCGCACCCGTTTACTAAAACCATAAGTGGCCAAGAACCACTTGCAAAGCATGCAACGAAGTGCGCACGCGCGCGTCGTCGCGCACGCATGCCGAAATCCTTCAAAAACCTTAGGAGCCTTGGGAATGTCCAAAAACGAATCAGCAAAACATATAGAAACACACGGTTTCGCAACAAACGTGTTCAAAAACAACCTGCGCCCGCGCCCATGCGAAGTCTTGAGGAAACTATCCGGTTGTTCATGAAGTAACGGGCCTCTCGCGCGCCCATGCCGAAATCGCTCGAACGCCCTTGTGCACGTGCTGTCGCGAGAACCCCGTGCACAAAACGGGACGGCGTGCGCACGCGCGCGTCGTCGCGCGTGCATTCCGATATCCTTTTGGAATCTTAGGCTTCGCAAGGGAATCGAAAGCGACTGTCCCGCAAACCAATGCAAGCGCATTTGTTTGCAGCATCCGTTTCCAAAGAAGCCTGCGCTCGCGGATGTGCGGATCCTTGGGGGAACCACAGATTTTTCAACACCATCCGCAACTTATGCCAAGCGGGCCTCCCGCGCCGCATGCCGAACTAATTCGAACGCCCTTGCGCGCGTGCTGGGAGGCATGGTCCGCGTAGAATGATACCGCGCGGGCCACTCGCGAACGTCGGCCTCACGCGCATGCCGAATTCCTTCTAAAACCTTCATCGCCTACGCGAACACATCGTGATCGCCATCGGCGGGCGTGGTCAACATCGGCGCCGTCATTTGCCTTGCCGTCGTCATCGTCACCATCGTCAACACCATCGCTTCTCTCATAATCGCATCTACCGTGGTCGGCGTCGCCATGATGCCGCGCCCGCCCAAGCCACCGACTCGCACTGAAGTGCCCGCTGGGAAATTCCAAGCGGTCAGTGCCACCGCGGCCGCGTCGGTCGCGCCAAACTGGTTGTCCGCTGCGCGCGCGAGCATGCGCGGGCTAGCGCGGCCGAAGATACGCACCAGCCAACGCCAAGCAATCATCGCAATCGCCGCCGCATGAATTTTGCAACCCAAGGTTGCGGGTGGTTGGGTGGGATGTTTGCAAGGACATGGACGTTGTCAATTCGTACGTGAACATGAGTTGCACCACGTACACCCTCCTTCCTCAACAAGAGTTCGGATCTACCACCACCCCCAGGATTATCCGCCCGCCCTGGGGATGTGCAAATTACATAGAATTATGCCCCATCGTTCATTCTAAATCTGAACTCGTACCATCCCAGTCCAGCCTGTATCGACCCCCCCAAACCACCCTCTGAAAAAAAACTACGCGCGCATACCCTTTTATCGAAACAGAGGGGGGAGAAGAAGGGGGACAGGGCATCCATTCACTGAGACTTGCCGACTCCTGTTGAGAAGACCTCCCCCTCGCATCTCTCCTCCCGCCTCCCTCCTCTCACGTCCTCTCTCCTCTCCTGTTCTCCCCTATCTCCTCACACGTCCGTTCCTCCTTCCCGGACTGCACCACCCACCTGGTCGCCGAAGTTCGGCGAGTGGTACTCTCCCAGGAACACCGGGGTCTGTGGGAATTCGCGGTCGTACTCGTCCTGCGCGCACGCTCAGCCCTTCACTGCAGCGCTCCACCCTTCGCCTCCTGGCCACAAAGATCGCATGTGATGGGCATCCCGCGCGCTCCACGCGCCGCCACCTGCCCGCAAGAGCCGCGAAGAAGCATCGTTAAGGCAAGGGGACCTGCTGAATGCCGCCGCTTGGCCTCGAGGCTGGCTGCCAGCAGAGGGGAACACCTTGCGGACAGGAGAGGCGACAGGAGAGGCGAAAACGCAGGAGGGGCGGGCGGGACACGAAATGAAACCTGGTGTCGTCGCCGTCGTCCTCGTCCTCGTGCACGTCGCCATCGTCGACGCCATCGTCGTGATCCTCGTCTGCGCTTGCCGATCCCCTGTCGCCATCGTCGTCGCCGTCGTCTGCGCTTGTTGGCCCCCTCGTTGTCGTCGTCGTCGTCGTCGTCGTCGTCGGCCCTCGAAAGTTTGACGGGAGGAAAAGGGGGGGAGCCCTTCTTGGCCCCCAGCCCAGGCCCGGGAAAAGGGGGCACCCACCAGTTCTCAGGGGAGCAGCTCTCAGGGAGGGCACCCCCCCGTGGGGAGCCCCGGGGGGGGGAGCGGGGGAGTCCCCCCCCCGGGTCGAACCCGGGGGGGACCCTACAAGAGACCAGGGAAATGGCTCTTTCACATGTGAACATCCGCCGACCCCTGCGGGGTTTTCTAGTCGTGAGCGGGTTCCCTCCCACACCCCTCCCCTAGGAGCGCGCCACGACCATCTCCGTCGCCGTCGTCGTCCACTTGATCCTCTTCCTCCCTCTCCCTCATTCTCCGTGGACGGCGGAAAGGCGTAAGCCGTTTGAATAAATCGTAGGAAGGCATCAGGGGAGATCATAATTTGTGAGGAAGTCCGAGGCGAAAGTGAAGTTCCAGAGTGGCGGGTGAGTGAAATTGCGGGGCAGTCTCGTGCGATCGTGCGATTGTCTGGAGCGGCTGGAGTGCTGGCCCTGAACAATTCGGCTGAGGTCCCGGGCAAGAATGCTGCTCGCGAACTGCAGGAAGTCTCCAGCGAGAGTCCGGTTCCTTAAGAAGCTGTGGGGGACTCCCGGGCTGGAGCAGCTGCTGCTGTGACCAGGAGCCGCTGTAGGGAGGTCCTTGGCGGGAGTCTTGCTGCTGTCGCCCAGGAGCCCCTGAAGGCGTTCCCTGATGCCAAGCACACGGTGCGAGCGTCGAGAAGGGGGGGCACCGGAAGCGAAACAGATACCATGGTTATCTGCATGGAGTAACCGAGGATACTAAGAGCCGAGGATGCGATCACGACAACTAGCACCTACGAGACCTGGGCCAGCGTTCCAGAAGCTCCTTCGAACACTATTGGGTGAGGTTTCCGTGTGAACGCTGGGCGGACGTGCTTGACAGACTGGGCCAGCCTGCCAGCCAGTGTGTTAGGAAACACTGGTCCAGCTGTTCGGGAGGAGGTCTGCTGATCCCATGCTCGACCGTAGCTGTTCAGAAGTGAGGGCTGGACTAGAACAAGCCACGCCTTCTTGCACACCTCGTCAAGAACCAGGAGGCATCAGACGCGAACGAGCGAGAAATCATGTCCAGGAAAAGGGGGCGGATATCGATGGCCGGGTTCGCAGTGTTGAAAGAGTTGATGAAGCGCGTCTTGTAGGCGAGCCACCTCAGAGCAGGGACGCCACACTGCTCGTCCTCGACATCTCCCCCCTTTCTGCTTGCACCCTGTCTTGTCCCCCCCCCCTCTCCTTTTTTTGCCTCCTCCCACTCAATCACAGGTGGGCGAGCACTTACGTGGACGGGCGACTCGAACATCATGCGTGACATGAGCACCTGAGAAACAGTTGTTTGTTTGTCCCCTGTTCCTCCTCCTCCTCCTCCTCCTCCTCCTCCTCCTCCTCCTCCTCCTCCTCCTCCTCCTCCTCTCCTCGTTCCGCCGACCCCCGAAGGGGGAGGACGCGCGCCAGTGAGGCCAGGCCCACGGCCAGAGCCGCGCCACGGACGCATGAGGCGGCGCGTGCACCGAAAAATCGGCCCTGCAGGCGCAGATGCGGCGACGCTTGCGCTGACCGCATGGCCCGCGGCACGGATTACCCATCAGTCGGAAGAAGTAGGTAGACACATGAAGTAGGAAGGCGTTGGAAATAGATTGGGTTTCCGCACGCCTCCTGAAGACGAAGGAAGAGGGAAGACCATTCGACTCTTGAAGTAGGAAGGCGCTGAAAGTAGATTGTAATCTGGGAATACAAAAATACCTACTTTCAACGACCGATGGGTACGGATGCTGGGCCCCGCCTGCGGGGGATCGATAACACCAGCCTGTGCAGACCGACCCAGGGCAGCTCACTGAGAGGGCGGCATGTCGTTGCGGGCCGTGTAGTTCAACAGCTTGGGGTTCTTCATGTAGCGCCGCAGCTCCTGGAGAGAGAGAGAGAGAGAGAGAGAGAGAGAAAGAAAGAAAGAGAGAAAAAAAGAGCAGAGGCCAGAATGAGGTCCAGCAGGCCTCGCGTGAGCCGAATAGTGTATAACCTCCTCATCGTCGTGATCAGTATCATAATCACCCAATCCATCATCACCATCAGCGTCATCTGTATCGTCATCCTCTGTTACTTCTGATGTATTCTTCGTCCTTGTCCCCCGCCTCCTCGCACCACCTGCTGCCGTTCCCCCTGCCCCCGCCCCATCATTCTCCCCTACATCTCCTCCTCCGCCATATGCTGCTCCTCCTCATGCTTCTCTTCTTCTCCTCCACATCCTCCATCATTGCCCCGCCAGCCTCCGCTGTATCGTCATGCGCTCTCTGCTCCGGCTGAGCCTCGTCGTCCTGCTCCTCCTCCACCTCCGTACATTACTCTTCCTTTGTCTCAGCCTTCTGCCTCATGTTTCAATTCTACCTGCCGTATAGAAGGAGAAAGAGATGGAGATAGATAGAGAGAGAGAGAGAGACAGAGACATAGACAGAGACAGAGAGAGACAGAGAGCTTGCGCGCAGCTAGGCTTGCCAATCGCAGAACTGCCGCGCAGTAGGCCAGCCCGAAATAGCCCCGGGCCACCCAGCGGGCCTCGCGCAGAGCTGCGCGTCGTCAGCCCGCGCGGCCAGAGCTGACATGAGGGAAAACAGCACCTGCCCTGAAACATATTCTGCGCGAGAACCCACCAAAGGCCCGACGGCGAGTTAACTGAAAGCTTGAGACAGTAATTGGAAGCAGTACGATGGACAGGAGGAGGAGTGCTGAGCAGAGGAGCAACAGGCGGAGCACGAAAGATGTAAAAACTCTCCAGCATCTGGCCGATTCCAGGAAAGTTGCCCTTGTCCGAGCACAAGTCGCACCGACCGAACGAGAAGGCCACCGTGAAGTTGGGTGCGGGCCTGCGTGGCGGAGGCGGAGTGGGCAACGAGAATGCTACCACCACGATGCGAGCCAGTACACTGTTCCAGCCGACCTCGTATCCCACAATCAAGGAGCCACCTGCTCTTCTACGTATTCCCCATATCCTAAGACTGCGGCAAAGTGTCGTGTTTCAGAGCCCCCGGCCCCGTTGTCATTGGAGTGCTGGACGCTTCTTCCCCGCCCTCTGGGCCACAAAGACTCGCAACAACAGCGGCACAGTGGGCCACAAAGATTCGCCACGTAGATTCCCCGCCCTCTGGGCCACGTAGTGTCTCTCTCTCTCTTTCTCTCTCTGTCTACCTCTCTTCTCTTGCTCGTTGTTGTTCTTTGCATGTATTGCTTCTATATATATATATATCTATAAATATATATACATATGTATCGTTCTCTCTCTCTCTCTCTCCCTAGGTATGTATATAGAATGTAGGCACGGACGTTTCGGGAATGAAGGCTCCCATACGCGGACTTAAATAAACTGCTTGCTGTTTTGATTTGGTTTCCCACGCAGAACCCGCATGCTTGGCGGCTTTCAGTTCCAGTCCTCATGGGAATCAAACAATGCAAACATAGAGAGGAATTTTGCACGGCACCTAGCATCAGCGTGTCTCCGAACACGTCGGCCCTCCTCATCCAGACTTCCTCCCCCCTTGACAGACCTATGGTGTTTTACCATGGTCCTTGTCCTCCTGATACTCGTGGAGGCTTTTGCGCGGGTGGTCAATGCTGACCGGCCCACGCACTCGCGACTTCTTCGAGATGTGTCTACCTTGTTCCACCCCTCCACCCTCTGCCTTCCCCGCCTTGAGACGACTCGTCTTTCTGGGAGGGGTCACAGCCTTGCGTTCCTCACGAATCCAAGGAGAGTCCGTGCCAAACGTGCGGTCTGTATCAACCAAATGTTCCCGCACCCTCGCTCTCGCTCTCGCTTTCAAACACGCACTCGCTCTCTCTCTCTCTCTCTCTCTCTCTCTCTTTCTACATATAGGTGTGTGTATGTCTCTGTCCCTCTCTCTCTCTATATATATGTATACACAAACAAGCTGTATATAGAAAACGAAAGAGAGAGAGAGAGAGAGAGAGAGAGAGAGAGAGAGAAATAAAGAAATATACAGGGAGAAAGAGACAGGAACGGAGAAGAGAAAGAGGCAGAGAACGTGAGAGAGATTCACCCCCGTTTCCTTCCCAATCTTCCCCGCAGTAGACAGCAATGATAGCATTCCCATATGTCTCTCGTTCTCTTTCTTTCTCGCTCCCTCTCTCTCCCATTCTGGAGCATACGATAAGAAGCCGTACGGAAAGGTACGTCTCCTCCACCCCTCGCTCTCTCTCTCTCTCTCTCTTCCTCTCTCCATCTCTCTTTCTCCCTTTCTCTTTCGCACTACTTATATAGATTGTTATCTCTCTTTATGTACGTTATATATGTATATATGTCTTTATGTCTCTCTCTACCAGTTTAGATAAACAAAAAAAGAATGTGTGCCAATAACACACAGATCAAACGCAACAGAAGGATACAGCCATAATCCGAACGCATCGACATATGAGCCTGCAGTGTGCCTCACATCTAGACTCTAGAAATTGGGGTGTTCACGGCCTCTATCCATCCTGTTCCCACCTATTCCCTCATCCTCCCTCCCTCCTCCCTCCTCCCTCCTCCTCCCCGGCTCCCTTCTCGCCCATACCTCCTTCCGCTTCCTGCCGTCCTCCTTCCCTTACCTCCCTAGAAAGGAAGAAGGAGAAAGGGAGAGAGAGAGAGAGAGCGTAAGAGAGGGACGGAGAGACCCAGAGAGGGAGAGAGAGAGAGAGGAAGGGCGAGAAAGAGCGAGCGAGAGAGATGGAGGAAGGGCAGGCCGCATACAGTTACCCCACCCAGTACAGCGGTTCGTGGCCAAAGAAGGAGCTCCACCGAAGATCCCAGTGGCGCAGTCCGCATGCGCCTCCCCCCACCCAGCACAGCGGCTCGTAGCCCCAGAGGGAGCTCCACCGAAGGCCCCAATGGCGCAGGCCGCATGCGCCCACCCCACCCAGTACTGCGTTTCGTGGCCCAGGGAGCTCCACCGAAGGTCACACTGGCGCAGTCCGCATGCGTCCCCCCCACCCAGTACAGCGTTCTGTGGCCCCAGAGGGAGCTCCACCGAAGGCCCCAGTGGCGCAGTCCGCATGCGTCCCCCCCGACCAGTACAGCGTTTCGTGGCCCCAGAGGGAGCTCAACCGAAGCTCCCAATGGCGCAGTCCACATGCGCCCCCCCCGCCCAGTACAGCGTTTTGTGGCCCCAGAGGGAGCTCGCAGTCCGCATGCGCCCCCCCCACCCGGTACAGCGTTTCGTGGCCCTACAAGGAAATCCACCGAAGGTCCCAGTGGCGCATCGCAGTCCGCACGCGCCCCCCCCACACCCAGTACAGCGCTTCGAGGCCCCATAGGGAGCGCCACTGAAGGTCCCAGTGGCGCAGTCCGCATGCGCCCTCCGCCTAGTACAGCGTTGCGTGGCCCCTGAGAGAGCTCCACCGAAGGTCCCAGTGGCGCAGTCCGCATGCGGCTCCCCCAACCCAGTACAGCTTTTCGTGGCCCCTGAGGGAGCTCCACCGAAGGTCCCAGTGGCGCAGGCCGCATGCGTCCCCCCCACCACCCAGAACAGCGCTTCGGGGCCCAAGAGAGAGCCCCACCGAAGGTCCCAGTGGCGCAACCCGTATGCGTCCCCCCACCCAGTACAGCGCTTCGTGGCCGCACAGGGAGCTCCACCGAAAGAAGGAGCTCCACCGAAGGTCCCAGTAGCGCAGTCCGTATGCGGCCCCTCCCCCCAGTACTGCGCTTTGTGGCCACAGAAGGAGCCTCGCCGTAGGTCCAAGCGGCGCAGTCCGCATGCAGTTGCCCCACCCCGTACAGCGTGGCAGCATAGGGAGCTCCACCGAAGGTCCAAGTGGCGCAGTCCGCATGCGCCCCCCCCCGCCCAGCACAGCGCTTCGTGGCCCCAGAGGGAGCTTCGCCGAAGGTCCCAGTGGCGCAGTCCGCTTCTCCCACCCAGTGGCCCAGTGGGTGCACCACCGAAGGTCCCAGTGGCGCAGGCCGCATGGATCCCCCCCTCCACTCAGCATAACGTTTCGTGGCCTCAGAAAAAGCTCCAACGAAGGTCCCAGTGGCGCAGTCCGCACGTGGTTCCCCCGCCCAATACAGCGCTTCGTGAAAGCTCCGCCGAAGGTCCCAGTGGCGCAGTCCGCATGCAGTTCCCACACCCGGTACAGCGCTTCGTGGCCCCATAGGGAGCTCCACCGAAGGTCCCAGTGGCGGAACTCGCATGCGGTTTCACCGCCCAATACAGCGGTTCGAGGCCCCAGAGGGAGCGCCACCGACGGTCCCAGTGGCGGAACTCGCATGCGGCCCCTCCCGCCCAATACAGCGTTCGTGGCCCCAGAGGGAAACCCACGGAAGACGATACCCACAACTGCGGTACTCACAACTGCATACGGTTGGGTTATTTGCCAGGCTAAGTGTTGCAAAGGGCTCTTGGAAATTGATGGGTGTTGATACACGAGCGCGGGAGCATTTTTTCCAAAAAAGAATGAAAGGGGATTACCAGGCTGTCTGCAATGCTATGTACATATATGTACTCGTGTGGGCCCGTGGATTAACTCCACGGAGCTGCGTGAGTCGAGCTTTGCCGACGCGCGCTTATGTTTCCGGCGCGCAAATGCCAGCAAGCTGTGGTGTGCGATCGACAACCAACGTGGAATCCATGAGCTTCGCCTCCTCAAGCCCTCTTGGGGGTCCTCCTGACGCTCTTTTCGGGCGCGTGATGCCCTCTGGGGCTGTCTTGACAGCATCAGGGCCGTCTTGGGGCCCTCATGGGCAGGCTCGGGGCCCTCTTGGCCTGTCTTGGTGGCCTCTTGGGAGCTTGTTGGGCTGTCTTGGGGGCGGCATGGGGGTCTATGGGCCGTCTTGGGGGCCTCTTGGGCCCCCCTTGGGCCCCTCTGGGGCTGTCTTGGGGCTTTCTGTCCCCTCGGAGCCGTCCTGGGGCGTCTTGGTGGCATATGGGGCCGTCTTGGGAGCATCGTATGCCGTCTGAGGGCGGTCTTGGGCCATCTCGGGGCTGTCTTTGGTCGCCTCGGGGCCTCTTTGGGCCGTCTCGGGGCTCTTCTGGGGAGCTCCAGTGCCACTTCGGGGCCCTCCAGGCGCCTTCGGGCTCTCCGGGGGGCTCGGGGAACCGGGGGCCCACGCAAACCTACAAAGCTCCTTACGGTTTTGTTTGAATGGATATATCGATGTTTTTTTTTATGAATTGTGTATAAATATATATACACATACAAACATATTTACATACATACCTACATACATACATACATACATACATACACACACACATACAAACATACATACATACATACATACATACATACATGCATACATACATACATACATGCATACATACATACATACATACAGACAGGCAGACAGACAGACAGACAGACAGACTGACAGACAGACATACATACATACATGCATACATACATACATACATGCATACATACATACATACATACATACATACATACATGCATGCATACATACATACATACATGCATACATACATACATACATACCTATTTACATACATACATACATGTATATATGTATTCGAGTGGGCGATGGGGCATACCCAGGTGTAACTTCAATACGCACAAGGGGTACCATTGAGTACGGGGGGAGATAGATCCCATTACGTGTTTGGAACAGAGACTCTTTGCGCATCTACAGATCTGCACACGTATGTACACATTATATATTCCTATATATATCATACCTTACGTATTGTACAATCGATGGTGTGACGTATACGCTGCGGCGTATGTGTGGTGCAACAGATGTCGTGCATCTTCGCGGTGGCTAGATAGGGTGGCTTCTGCCGTCGCCCATGCTCGCACCCCTGGCCTCATCCCTCGATCATAAATGACTGGGATTGGGGGCCAAGGGGATGGCGGACCTGGGGGCGGACGACGGTTGTGGGATACTTGGGGCCACATCCGAAAGGGCGCGTGGACCATGAGAGCCTCGCTACCGCCCCGCACGGGGCTAAGGCAGCGAAGAGGAGGACGAGTCCCGCTCAGCGCAGGTCCAGTGCAGGACCTGTGCAGGGAGAGTTTCCCATTCCCGCGCACGTGGGGAGGTGCATGGATAATCGGGAAGCGCCCGCACCTTACATGTGATGCAAAAGTCCTCCTTGAGGCTGCCACTACTGCGGGGCCGCAACTCGAAGGCACCGCATCATCGCCTACCGCAGCAGCCCCCCCTGAACAGCCAGCAAGGCACCAAGCTACGCGGCTGCGTGGCTGGCTGACGGCGCCGCGGGGCCTGAGGCCCTTGGGCCGCATCCAGAACAAGCCATGGGATGCCGGTCCCGCTCGAAGCCGCACCCGGCTTTTAATCGCAGCCGCCAGCGAAAGCGCAAGCGGCGTCAAACGGGACGGGCGGGCCGCGCGCGACCTAATTGCCTAACGCTCCAGCAAGCAGAGGCCTAGGCGGCACCTCAGATGAGAAGCCGCACCCGGCACGAAAGATGACGAAACTGGGCGGGCGGGCCCAGGGAAAGTTTCGCCACGGCTCGAACCACCGGCTTCGGCGACCGCGCGGACGGCGACGACATTGACGACGATGCTGGTGCAGACCATCCTCCCTCCCCTTTCCTACCGACCCAGGTGGAAAGCAACGGAAGGGGGGATGCTCAACGTCGTTTAGCCCAAGACCAAATAGCCACACACGTGTCCCACGAGCGTGGCCGAAATTTGGGGGGACAAGCCCTGCCCCCTGCTGAAGTCTCTGCTGCACCTGCTAATGCGTCGAGGCTCGACAAAAATGCCGATTGCCGAGAATGCGGTGACATTAAACCGGCCGGCCAATCGAGCAGGCTGCAAAATTTGTAACCCGAATTCGGGCCAAAAACCTCGGGCAACCCTGCCTTTCCGGGCATATACAATCAAGTCAGCCCCCATCACACCCAAATGAACCCCCGCACGGCGAAGATCATACTGACAGGCTCAGCCCCCTTTTGAGCCTGATGTTAGTCGATCAGTACATGTTGTGCAGCCTATGTGGACCAATATATGTGGAGCAGTCTGGGTTGTGCAATCGGGTTGTGCAAGCTACATGCAGCAATATATGAGGTAGGAGCTTTTGATGGGTGGTATATGTTGAGCAATATATGTGGTGCGAGGTACGCGGTGCAATCGATGTTGTGCAGCATATGGTGTGCCATCGATGTTGTCCAGAATATGTGGTGCAATATATGTGGTGCAGTATGTGTGGTGTAATCTATGCGGTGAACTTGATTACCCTGCACCGCGCTTGACCACTCCACTGCTCGCGCAAACATCCCACCCACCCACCCGCAACTTGGTTCGCAAAATCTCTTAAGACCGTGACGGTGGGTACCAAATGGCACTTGCCAACGACAGCGACGCCGACGACGACAGCGACAACGACGACAACGACGCCGCCGACAACGACTACGACGACACCGACGACGTCTCCAACGACTTCGACGACGCCGACAACGACGACGACGACGACGACACCGACGACGACGACGACGCCGACGCCGACGACGACGACGACGACGATGACAACGACGACGACGATGACGACGCGATGACGACGACGACGACGACGCCGACGACGACGACGACGACGACGTCAACGACGCCGACGACGACGACGACGACGACGACGACGACGACGACGGCGGCGACGACGACGACGCCGACAACGACGACGAAGACGACGACGACGCCGACGCCGACGACGACGAAGACGACGACGACGTCGCCAACGAAGACGACGACGAGGGAGGAGGGAGGACGACGACGGGACAACGGCGACAACGACGACAACGACGAGGGAGGAGGGAGGACGGCGACGACGCGAACGACGAAGAAGGAGGAAGGACGGCGACGCCGACGACGGCAACGACGAGGGAGGAGGGAAGACGACGACGACGACGACAACGACGACGACGACGACGACGGCGACGAAATAAGAGGGACGACGACGAGACGCCGACGACGGACGACGACGACGACGAGGGAGGAGAAGGAAGGACGACCACGGCGACGACGACGACGGAAACGACCTCGACGCCAAAGAGGACGACGACGACGACGAACACGAGGAAAGACAGAGGACGACGTAGGCGACGACGACGACGACAACGACGCGGGAGGAGGGAGGACGGCGACGACGACGACGACGACGACGCAAGAGCGCGCGCGCACGCTTTTGTTGAAAATCCGTGTTGCGAAACCTTGGGTTTTTGTAGGTTTTTTTGGACGCGCGATTTCGAAAATTCTTCCGAAACCGATGGGTTTTGAAGGATTTCGGCGTACGCGCGCGACCACGCGCGCGTCTGCACGTCGTCCCATTTTTTCCCAGAGGATTCTCGCGACGGCACACGAGCAAGGGCGTTCGACAGATTTCGACATGTGCGCGCGCGAAGCCCGTTTGGTAGCAGTTTGTAAAAATCTTGAAAAACCGCTGGTTTTCTTAAGATTTCGCAAGAGCTCGCGCGGAAGCTTTTTTAGCAAATCAGTGTTGCGAAACCATGTGTTTTTGTATGTTTTTTGGAAACTCGATTGCGAAATCCTTCCGGCACCGAAGGTTTTTGAAGGATTTCGGCATGCACGCGCGATGACGCGCACGTGTGCACTTCGTCTCATTTTTTTGCAAGGGATTCGTGAAAAAATGCTATGTTAGAACAAAAAATGTCACCGCATAATGTTTTTTACAAGGGACCCTCAAGGGGGGGGAAACGGGCCTGCCTGGGATGGTATGATTTCATACTTCGGATGGACGAGTGTGCAATATATATATATATACATATATATATATATATATATATGAAATTGTACTATCCCAGGAGGAAGCGTTAAGTCCGGGAGGGGGGGTAGAGTGTATTCTCTTTCTAGAAAGGAGGATCTACGTTGTGCGATCTATGTGCTATGTGGTGCACAACCCACGTAGTACACTCTCTTTGTGGTGACATGCACGTTGCGCAACCGATGCTGTACTGCGCATGCTGTGCAGTCGATGCGGGGCGGCGACAGGGCAGCGGCGGCGGCAGCGAGCACGGCGACAGACGGACCACGGCCCCGACGACGGGCGGCGACGAGGCGGGCGGGCGACGGGGCAGCGACGGCGGCCACGTCGCCGCCAGACCGAAGACGCGGCCCAGACGAAGGGCGGCGACGGGGCGGCGACGGGGCGGCGACGCCGGCCACGTAGCTGCCACACCGAAGACGCGGCCCAGTTCCGTCGAGCGGGAGTAGGAACCCCTTAAGGGCAAGCGCTGTTTCGGGACTACCGCACCGTAGCCTCCATGTCACCAGCATGAGGAGAAGGAAGACGAGGAGGCGTGCGCCGTCACGCCCCTGCCCCCATCATCGCCGCATGACCTTAGAGGGCGGACGAAATCCATCCCGACAATAACCACCCCGACGCGCGAAGCCGTTTGGTGAACGCACCCGAAAAAGGAATCAAACAGGGCAGAGCTGTTTAGTAAACGCCCAGGGCCGTTCAGTAAACGCCAATCGTCTGGTCCGGGTGGTTTTTTCTCCCTTGCTAATTGCCGGGTGGGGCGGGTGCGTGCCCCGTCACGTTGAGCTCTTTCTCGGCGCTGATCATGCCGTCGAGGCCGCTGATGAGCGCCCTGCAGAAGTGCTCCGGCGGTCCTGAAGCACGCGTCGCCCGTCGAGAGGGGGGGCTGGCATGGTGCAAATGTTGTGCAGGGGCGAGCAGGAGGAGACACAGCAGGCAAAGAAGACGCATCAAAGATGACGACAACGCCGAATGGGAGCCCTGCGCGCGGGAACTTGATGGACAGCCAGCACGCCGATGCGCACGCGAGGTGGCTGCCGCCCGTGGGGCGATGCAGAGTCCGTGCTTCGTGATCTCCCGCTGGATCTGGCAGAGTTCTGGCTTGCAGTGGCCTGCTGTCCGGGGCGATGACTGAGGAGAAGGAAAAGCAGGGGGAGAAGAAGAAGAAGAAGAAGAAGAAGACGAAGAGAAAGCAGGCTTCGAGTTCCAGCAGCAGCACGACTGCGCCGTTGGAGGCGCGGCCGCCACTGCTTCCGCATCCCGGTCTTGCAGTTCACCTCGTGGACGCCTCGGGTTCACCCATGCGGCAGAGCGCGGCACCAGGAGGAGGAGGAGGAGGAGGAGGAGGAGGAGCAGGAGGAAGAGGGGCAGGGGCCAGGGAAGACGGCAGAGGGAGGAGGGGAGGAGGAGGAGGAGGAGGAGGAGGAGGAGGAGGAGGAGGAGGAGGAGAAGGGGAGGAGGAGGAGGGGCCAGGGAAGACGGCAGAGGGAGGAGGGGGAGAAGGAGGGGGGGGGGATGGGTCGAGAGCTCTGCCTGGCCGTTCCCCTTCCCCCTCTAGCCCTCGGCGGCGCGCACAGGGGGGGTATGGGGGAGGGGGGAGCGCTTCTTAGGAGGAGGCTGCCTCTTGGAAGACCCCAGCCCTGCGTCTACAGAGAAGGCCAGCGCCCTCTAAGGGAGCAGAGGTGCTTCTGAGAAGCCTTCCCCCCTGCCCCCTGCCCCTCTCCGCGCGTCCTCCCGCCCACCACTGGGGGTGTCCTGGGGTGCCCCGCAGGCCTCCCTCGAACTTTAGGTCTGGCTCGTTCATGATGATGACCGTCTTGAGCGCCTTGTGGTAAGAGCTGCCGTTTACAATGAACCTCGCTGGGAAGGAGGGTAGACATGGACTGCCGCAGCCCGACAAGAGTTAAACCATATCAGTACGAACAGGAGCTCCAGTCAAACGCATCACCTCATTGGCTTCGTACTGCACCCTCCCCCCCCGTCCTACCCCCACGCCCCTCCTTCGTGCCGTGTGTTCAACTACCCTGCGCGCTCTGACGATTGCTTTCGCAAGCTGCGCTCGCCGAGCTGCCGGTTAACAGGTATCCAGCGGGCTATTGCGCCTCATTGCCGTCCTTCCTCCCAACACAATTGGCTGACAGATTCCTCAAAATACCATCCGTCCGTGTTGTGCTCCCCCTGCCCCTTCCCCCAACAGCCTCGCCAAGAAGACATCACGTATCGCAGAAGTGGTGAATTGTGAGCCCCACCCCTCGGCGCCCCTTCTTCAAATTGTTGCCGTACTGCTCCTTGATTTGGTCGAAGCAGTCGAATCCTCGGGGAAGGATAGGGGCAAGATCACGGAGGCACAGGAGGAAGAGGGGCTGGAGCGGGAAAAGGCAAGGGAAAGAGAGATCGGTGAGGGTGCAGGATCAGGTGACGTGGTGCAGACAGAGAACTGGAGGGGGCCGCAGGACAGGAGAACGAGAGGATGAGGATAGACCGCGACAGGTGCGGCATCAGTGGGCGAGCCTGGGGTGAACAGAAAGAAGATAACGCGGATGAGGAGAACAGTCAGCAGGAGAGGAAGAGGACAAGGGCGGAGGAGGAATGACGAGAAGGACGCGGGAGGCCGAGGATGAGGAAGGAGGAGGACTACGAGGAGGAAGCGGGAGAGGATGATGACGAGGAATGAGTAGACGGTGGGAGACGCTTTTCCGTTCGAATCTCTCCCCCACCGTTCCCTGCGGCCACCTGGTGCTCTCCAAGCTGCTTCAAGCTCGCTAGGCTGGGGTGCGCCAACGCAGGTCGCGATCGAGTCGAGGGCTAGCCCCCTCTGGGGTAGGGGGGGGGCCATCCTGGGAAGGGGCGCCCCTCCCTGCCTGAAGTGACTCGGGCGATCTTGGGGCCAACCTGGCTGTCTTTGGGCCACCTAGGCCCCCTAGACTTATGTCGGGCTGTCCCCCTACAGAGGGATTTTCGAAGAAAGATACAAGTTATCCCGGCAAAGCAACCTAACAGCGATGTGTAGGAGCATATCTGGAAGCATTCTCCTTAAGATTCAGATGGGAATCCTGCTGTAGAATTCTGCTGTTCTCGCAATCGTAGTCGCATTCGCGATGGCAGTCGCAGTGGCAACGGCAGTCGCAGTCACAGCCTCAGCCTCAGCCTGCCTCAGCCTCAGCCTCAGCCTGCCTCAGCCTCAGCCTGCCTCAGCCTCAGCCTCAGCCTGCTTCAGCCTCAGCATCAGTCTGCCTTCAGCCTCGGCCTCAGCCTGCCTCAGCCTCAGCCTGCATCAGCCTCAGCCTCAGCCTCAGCCTGCCTCAGCATCAGCCTGCCTCAGCCTCAGCCTCAGCCTGCCTCAGCCTCAGCCTCAGCCTGCTTCAGCCTCAGCCTCAGTCTGCCTTCAGCCTCGCCTCAGCCTCAGCCTGCCTCAGCCTCAGCCTGCATCAGCCTCAGCCTCAGCCTCAGCCTGCCTCAGCATCAGCCTGCCTCAGCCTCAGCCTCAGCCTGCCTCAGCCTCAGCCTCAGCCTGCTTCAGCCTCAGCCTCAGTCTGCCTTCAGCCTCGGCCTCAGCCTCAGCCTGCCTCAGCCTCAGCCTGCATCAGCCTCAGCCTCAGCCTCAGCCTGCCTCAGCATCAGCCTGCCTCAGCCTCAGCCTCAGCCTGCCTCAGCCTCAGCCTCAGCCTGCTTCAGCCTCAGCCTCAGTCTGCCTTCAGCCTCGGCCTCAGCCTCAGCCTGCCTCAGCCTCAGCCTGCATCAGCCTCAGCCTCAGCCTCAGCCTGCCTCAGCCTCAGCCTCAGCCTCAGCCTGCCTCAGCCTCAGCCTCAGCCTGCTGCCTCAGCCTCAGTCTGCCTTCAGCCTCGGCCTCAGCCTCAGCCTGCCTCAGCCTCAGCCTGCCTCAGCCTCAGCCTCAGCCTCAGCCTGCCTCAGCATCAGCCTGCCTCAGCCTCAGCCTCAGCCTGCCTCAGCCTCAGCCTGCCTCAGCCTCATCCTCAGCCTCAGCTTCAGCCTCAGCCTCAGCCTGCCTCAGCCTCAGCCTCAGCCTGCCTCAGCCTCAGCCTGCCTCAGCCTCAGCCTCAGCCTCAGCCTTCAGCCTCAGCCTCAGTCTGCCTTCAGCCTCGGCCTCAGCCTCAGCCTGCCTCAGCCTCAGCCTCAGCCTGCAGCCTCAGCCTCAGCCAGCCTCAGCCTCAGCATCAGCCTGCCTCAGCCTCAGCCTCAGCCTCAGCCTCAGCCTCAGCCTCAGCCTCAGCCTCAGCCTCAGCCTCAGCCCTCAGCCTCAGCCTCAGCCTCAGCCTCAGCCTCAGCCTCAGCCTCAGCCTCAGCAGCCTCAGCCTCAGCCTCAGCCTCAGCCTGCATCAGCCTCAGCCTCAGCCTCAGCCTGCCTCAGCATCAGCCTGCCTCAGCCTCAGCCTGCCTCAGCCTCAGCCTCAGCCTGCTTCAGCCTCAGCCTCAGTCTGCCTTCAGCCTCGGCCTCAGCCTCAGCCTGCCTGCAGCCTCAGCCTCAGCCTCAGCCTCAGCCGCCTCAGCATTCAAAATGTGGCCCGGGAATGGAGTTCTGGGAACTCGAAGAACACGAAGTGGCCTACAGTTGCCTCCGGGCGTTCAAAATCATGCCCAGGAATGCAATTCTGGGAACTCGAAGACCACGAAGTGGCCTACAGTTGGCTCCGGGCATTCAAAATGTGGCCCGGGAATGGAGTTCTGGGAACTCGAAGACCACGAAGTGGCCTACAGTTGGCTCCGGGCATTCAAAATGTGGCCCGGGAATGGAGTTCTGGGAACTCGAAGACCACGAAGTGGCCTACAGTTGGCTCCGGGCATTCAGAATGTGGCCCGGGAGTGGAGTTCTGGGACCTCGAAGACCACGAAGTGTGTAACTGTTGGCTAAAAAAAATCCCCGGCACCCTCCCCCGGATCGCGTCCAGACCCACCTGGGGCGTCATGATGCTCTCTTTTGACCCTACTAGAAACCCATCAGTCTCTGCTGTTAGGTAAAAAACCCAAACATGCCCCTAAAAGGTCCAAAAATATTCAAAAAATACTCCCCAGACTATTTTTTGCATTTTTATATGTTTGAAATATTTTTTATTTTCGTCGAAAATCCCCCTGTAGGGGGACAGGCCCGACTTAACCCGAGACTTGCTGGTGCCTTCTGGGGCCAACTTCGGCTCTCCTGGGAGTCTTGTGGTCCGCCCTGGAGGCCCCAGGGGCCAGCTCAGGAGGCCAAACTCGACGGGATCCCTCAGGCTGTTGCATGAGGCTCGACATCCTCCTCCTCCTCCTCCTCCTCCTCCTCCTCCTCCTCCTCCTCCTCCTCCTCCTCTGCTTCCTCCTCCTCCTCCTCCTCCTCCTCCTCCTCCTCCTCCTCCTCCTCCTCCTCCTCCTCTTCCTCTGCTTCCTCCTCCTCCCTCCTCCTCCTCCTCCTCCTCCTCCTCCTCCACACTATCACCACATCGGCTGCAAGAGCGTACTAGTCGCCCAAGAAGCCGCCAACACTGGAGACCCCGAAGACGGCCCCAAGAGGGGCCCAGACAAGCGCATCACCTGTGCACCGCTGGACGCCACACCCTGGAAGATGATCACAAGCCACCCAAGAGACCCCCAAAAGGCCCCAAGAAGCATCCAAGTGGTGGGCCACAGAGGCCCTCAGAAGTCCCACAAGAGCCCCTAGAATGTCGCCCGCCCAGGCCTCTGGTACACGACAAACGCGCAAAGACCAGATGGGCCCAAAGCAATTGAATGTTTCGCCCTCGCATAAAAGCTGCTGTTGCCCAATGCCGCCGTCGCCATTCCGCCTCTTGCGCCAAAGCTGCTCCCTTCTCAAGGTCGCCAGAGCTGGCCACAAGATCTTTCAGATCGAGCAGCTCGTTTTCAAACATCCATCCCGTTGCAGGTACACAGATGAAGGTCAGCTCATTTTCCAAACTGATGGTTTTGCGCTGAGACCGCACGCTGCTTTGTTTCACCGAAAGACAACACAATAATTAACATACTGTCTCTGAGTTCCGCGCGGTTTTCTTGGATCTGCGCTGGACCCCCGAAACGAACCAGGGGTGGCGTTGGAGGCGCAGCAAGGGGGGCCCAACGCAGACCCAAGAAACCCGCGCGGAACTCAGAAGCTATGTGCCTGTCATGCTTGTTCTTCGATTGCAACATCTACACTAGATGTGCGGAAGTCCACATGGACGGTGGCCAATCCCCTCTCAAACTCACCATGGATTGCTACGGCGCGTGGCCGAATCTCCCTGCCACTTTCAGTGGCAGGGCCAGCGGTTTCTGCTTCTTCTGGCTTCATCGTGTCCCAAACTTTTCGCGGTGCCACGAGCCCCATCCCTCCTAGATCTCGTGTCTGCGACAGGGCCATGGAGCTTCATCTTTCCAACGGGCGACCCCCGTACTCACTCACGAATAGCCAGTGCCTGCATGTGCCGGTGAGGAGTGGACATCGAACGGTGGGTGTACCGCAGCCTCGGGGGTGTGCTGGGCTCACGCTGGTCATACTTCGCATCCCCCCTCCTCTGCCTCCTCCTCTGCCTCCTCCTCCTCCTCCTCCTCCTCCTCGTCTTTCCCCTCCTCTTCCCGATTGCTGCCCCCCGTTCCTGTCTGGATGCAGCTGCCTGGCATTTGCACAAAAGGGTAGTCGCTCAGCCCAGCGACTACGTCCAGGCCCGCTCCCTGGTCGGGTGCGGGGGGAATGCTGAATCGCAGAATCCTCATCCTGCTGATGTGTCTCCTCCTCCAGGAGGTGGAGGACCGCCACCTCCTCCACCTCTCCTGGTCGGCTGTGTCGGGCGTCCCGGACGGTGCCAGAGAAATTGAAACAAGAGGGACGGACTCAGACAAAGAGAGACAGAGAGGGGTGAGAGAGACACAGAAAGAGCAAGAGAGAGATACACAGACAGAGAGTGAGAGATGAAAGATGATGGATAGTGTACGTTTGTATGCGCGGAGGGAAGAGAGAGAGAGAGAGAGAGAGCGAGCGAGGGAAGAGTGTGTACGAGAGAGAGAGAGAGGGAGAACGAGAACGACGAGACAGAGGGGGAAACATGTGCACACACATACATGTCACGAGCCCGTATACACATACGTATATGTATGTAGGTTATACGCACTCACTTACATTTATGCGTATCGGAGGTTGGGGATGAGATCGCAATGAAACGGAGACCCCCCACTGGGAAATCAGTTTCGGTTTCGTGTTCGTGTCGTGCGTGCGGGCGAGGCGAAGCTGCGCGTGATCCTCCTACAGCTAGGCCGAAGTAGGAGCGAAAGTCCGTTTCCCGTCCGCCGGTGGCCGGGAGGTGTCCCAGTTGGGCCGGGCGGTGTCCCGGGTGTCCCGGGTGTCAGTAGTAGGAGCGAAGGTCCGTTTCCCGTCCGCCGGTGGCAGGGAGGTGTCCCAATTGGGCCGGGCGGTGTCCCGGGTGTCCCGGGCGTCCCGGCGCTAACGCATGTCGCTAATTTCATTTTTTTTTTGTTCGGCGCCTGCGGCGGGTTTTCTTATCCAATCCAACTTATCTTATTCAATCCATCTCGTCCAATCCAATCCGTCTTATCTTATACAACCCATCTTGTCCCACCCTATCCAATCCATCCAACCCAATCCATCAATTCATGTGCTTCTGCGCCTGCGGCGGGCCAATCCAATCCATCTTATCTTATCCAATCCATCTCTTCCAATCCCACCCATCTCATCTCATCCAATCCATCTTATCCCATCCAATCCAATCCACCCAACCCAATCCATCAATTCAGTTTTGCCCGAGTGAGAGAGAAAGAGAGAGAGAGAGAGAGACACAGAGCGTGTGAGAGAGAGAGAGACAGAGAGAAAGAGAGAGATGAGATCAAGGTGACAGGCTGGAGGTCAGTCAGGGCGGACATTTGATCTCAATCCCCCCAAACCTCCTTATCGCCCGCAGGGCGGTCGTATAAGTATACGTGTATGTACGTGCATCAATAAAGCGCAAGCGAATGTATATATATATAGTGCATGGCGATACCTTTCAGTGATTGTACACTACATGCAACTATTCCAAACCTTCGAGAGAAAAGAAAGATGGAAGGGGGGGAGAGAGAGAGAGAGAGGAAGAGAGAGCGGCAGAGAGAGAGAGAGACCGAACCAACAACCTAAACCAATCAAACCAAAACCAACAGCAACACACCACCAACAACAAAAGCAACAACAATCAGTTTAAGACTGTTCGCTCTTATCTGCTCGAGGGCCATTCAACACGTATCTCCCAAACCCTCGATCCCAGCCCTCTTCGTCTTCGGTCGCACCCCCTTGGGGGTATATTTGTCTTACCTGCGAAGTGTATTTCGTGCAGCCCCCCAGGCAAAGGAGGAGAGGATGGATGGAAAGAAAGGACAAGGGGGAAGGAGGACGATGGAACACGAGAGAGCGCAGCAGGAGGGGGGCTAGGAGTAGAAAACACGTGGCAAAACCAGACGGGCAAATCGGGCGGGTAGACCCTAACGGGCTGGTCGGAAAGCGGGCCCAGGGGGCCAGGTCGAGCATCGAGCAGGCAGGTTGCTGAAGCGTGCATTTGAAATGAATCGCGCGGAAATTTCGAGCGACAGCGCGATTCCCAGTAAATCGCGAGGAAGGCCACAGCGAGAGCGTGACTCCTGAGTGTCGAGGGCGCGGCATCTGTGCCAGGAAGTGCAACGCGAGAGCGCGATTCGTGCATACATTGTGAAGACGTCCCACGCGAGAGCGCGATTTTGAAATAATTCGTGAGGATACACACACTTATATACATATATATATATATATATGTGTATGTATATATATGTATGGCGGGATCCGCTGTTGAACACTCACTTTTGAAAAATAAAAACTGTGCATCCCTTTCGCCCGGTGCACATTGTATTTGTTCAATTGAAGTGCCCCCCCTAGGACGCGCACCCTATTCTTTTTCCAGGGAAAACCTTGAGCGTCAAACTGCGCCCCCGGCCTCCGAGTTACAAACACGGCTCTCGCCCGATGCTTCCCAATCTGTTGCGAGATTAAGCTCACGCGCGGCACATCCTCCCAATGTATACAGGAATCGCGCTCTCGCGCGGGACTTCCTGCCCATTTATTCCGTCGCCGCGCCCTCGACACTCAGGAATCACGCTCGCGCTGCGCATTTCCTGGCGATTTGTTTGCGAATCGCGCTATCGCTCGAGAGTTCCTCGCGATTCATGCAGGACGCACGCTTCAGCAACCCGCCTGCTCGACCTGGCCGCCTGGGCCCGCCTTCCCGACCAGCCCGTTAGGGTCTACCCGCCCGATCTGCCCGTCTGGTTGTGCCACGTGTTTTCTGTTCCGAGCCTCCCTCCTGCTACTGTCCCTCGTGCTCCATCTTCCTCCTCCCCTTTGTCTCTTCCTTCCATCCGTCCTCCCTTCCCCTGCCTTAGGAGCTGCACGAAATACACGTCGCAGGTAAGACATAGATATCCTCCCAAGAGGGGCGCGATTGAAGACGAAGAGGGCGGGTATCGAGGGTTTGGGATATACATGTTGACTGGCCCACGAGCAGATAAGAACGAACAGTATTAAAGTGATTGTTGTTCTTGTAAACCGGGGGCGAAGACAAAGTTTGCTGACACTATACTTTCCCTGATAACAAACTGGGTGCAAGCCCTGGGAGAAGCAATTTGGCTTGCGGGATAAACAAGCATTGCCCCTTTGACATGAGAACTCAACAACAACACCAACAACAACAACAATAGCAGCAGCAACAACAACAACAACAATGACAACAACAACATCAACAACATCAACAATCATGTTCAGACTGATTGTTCTTACCTGCTCACGTGGCATTCAACACGTATACCCCAAACCCTCGATGCCCGCCCTCTGCGTCTTCGATCGCACCCCCTAGGGGGTATATCTTTCTTTCCTGCAGCGTGCATTTCGTGTAGGAAGGGACAACGGGCAGGCCGGTTGCTGAAGCGTGCGCCCTGCATGAATTGCCAGCAGAGCTCGAGCGACAGCGCGATTCCCCCAAACAACTCGTGAGGAAATCCACAGCGAGAGCACGATTTCTGAGTGTCGAGGGCGCGGCGCCTGAATGACTTGCGAGGATACCCCACGCGAGAGACTGATTTTTGCATGAAGTGCGAGGAAGTCTCGCGCGAGAGCGCGATGTGGGAAGAACCTGTGAGGGAGTATCAGGCGGGAGCCCTTGTTTTGTTAGAACTCGAAGGCCAGGGGCCCAGTTTGGTGACCTCACGCCTTCCATGGCTTTTGTCTTCTTCTTTGTTGTATTCAAAAACGCACAATGCGAGCCCCGCGAAAAGCATTTGAATTGAAAAAGATTGTCGCTGGAGGGGGGGTCAAGTATATATTGTTCTTAGAAATGAGAATCCAACAACGGCACCAGCAACAACAACAACAACAATCATTTTAAGACTGGGCGCTTTTACTGGCACGCGTGTCTTGCATTCTGTATACCCCAGCCCTCGATACCCGCCCGCTTCGTCTTCGATCGCACCCCCTCTCGGGGGGAGTATCTCCCCTGTCGGCCACTGACTGAAACGCGAAGACTCTCGAGCGAGAGCGCCGTTCCTGAGTTCGGGGCCTCTCTGGGAGCTCTCGGAACGCAGATTGAAAAAGATCGAACGGGAAACCCGTGTCGCCGTGTCTGGACCTCCACCAACTTGCCTAAATGATGAGAAGGTCTCGAGCGAGAGGATAATTCTTGAGTTTGGGGGCCTCTCTGGCCAGGGCCTCTGGGAATAATACACCTTGAAGAAGAATCGAACCAGAGCCCTCGTCGTCGTAGTTGGGCCTCCACGGATTTGGTTGAATCACGAGAAAGTTTCGAGCGAGAGCGCCGTTCCTGAGTTCGGGGGCCTTCCTGGCCAGGGGCCCTCGGAGTAAATCGTGAGGAGGTATCGAGCAGGAGCCCTTTTCATCCTGGCTGGGCCTCCGCCGATGTGACTGAATTGCGAGGACCTCTCGAGAGAGGGCGCCGTTCCTGAGTTCGAGGGCCTCTCTTGCCAGGATGTTTCGGGTCAAATTGTGAGGCGGTATCGACCGGGAGCCGTTGTCGTCGTAGCCGGGCCTCCAAGGACACACATTTACAATCAAACCCGGGCTCGAGCGGGAGCCTCGTTTTCAGAGGAACTGCAGCCGACGTCGAGGCGAGAGCGCGCGGAACCGTTTCCAGAGACAGCAACGGTTGTTCTCTAAAAATAAATATTCTACAACAACACTAATCATTCAAAGACTGTTTGGTTTTACCTGCTCGGATGTCATTCAACGTGTATTTCCCGAACCCTCGCTACCCGGCCTCTTCGTCTTCGATCGTGCCGCTTTTGGGGTGTTTCTTCCCTGCAGGCCGGGCCCCGGCAAGCGGCGGGGTGGCCGCGGACCGTCGGCCTGGCCAACGGCAGCGCTGACCGGCGGCAACCCGGACCCAAGAGGGACAGACAGGGGACCGACCGCGACGACGACGACGAGCGAAAGCGAGAGCGAGAGCGAGAGCGAGAGCGACAGCGGGGCCACGAAGGGCAGGAAAGGGACCACGAAAGGCAGCGAGGGAGCCACGAAGGTCGAGAGCGGGACCACGAAGCGCATGTAGATTGGGCCACGACGGGAGCGAACGAGCGGGGGCCACGAAGGGCATGCAGAT